GACACATAGATCATTAGCTTACAAGCCAACATTTGAAAAAAACCGTTTGATTAATCTGTTTAACGTTGACGTCCACCTGCTACAATGAGCAATAATTCCCTTGTAAAATAGTATCTGACCTTATCATAACGCACAAGACGCACTCAAAAGATCCAGTGTGTAGGATTCTGTAGCATCTAATCTAACTAGATAACTTAATGTAAATCTTGATTTGTTTGACCACAAATGAAAACCTTTATTTACCTCTTTATTATTTAGGCATTTCAAATGTAGTTTAATTGTTTAGCAGATCCAGAGAGATCCAGCCTCCCTTTTGTCTATTCTTTACTATCCATACATGTTCTCATTTGTTCTACAATTTATTTTATTAAAATACTTTATTATTATGGAATAATTACTGTATTTGCTGTTTATAATGAAAACTGGAAAATGTATACCACATTTAATACATATATTGATTTGTATTCTTTCTCAATATATTCACAATAACAACGATACTTAGTTTCAGGTGATTGTGCAATAATGAAAGCATAATAATGTGTCATATTAAGAGGGTATTGAGCTGGGGATATGTACAATTATTGCTCATAAATGTGACTGTGTTTATGTGTGTGTGATCAGGGTGATGGGGCCTGACGGAGCCCCGGGTCCAGCTGTGCCCTGGAGGAAGGTGCTGTGGGAGCGACAGCCGTTCCCTGACAACTACGTGGACCAGCGTTTCCTGGAGGAACTACGCAGGAATGAGGGCATCCGACAGTACCGATACTGGACTGTGGTGAAAGAGGCAGGCTTTGTCGGAGAGCAGCTGTCCTGTGTGGCCATTTTTATCACCCTCTGGCTCTACATGGAGCAGGTAAAGCTTTAGAAAACTGTCTCGTAGAACACACTGTGCCTTTAAGGGATAGTTCAGATTTTGGAGTGGAGTTGTATAAGGTACGAAGTCATAGTCACTGGCCGTTTCTCAATGTCGAGTATACCTGCTGCAGAGCCACTATTTCAAGTATACTACATCATCGAGTGGCGCCGAATGCTGGGCATTTAACATGCATTTAAACAGTCATTCGGCGCCACTCGATGAAGTAGTATACTTGAAATAGTGGCTCTGCAGCAGGTTTACTCGACGAAGAAAGGCACGAAAGAAAGAAATAAGTTGAAGTGTACAATATATTTTGAATATTTTCAAAGCTTTACCTTGCTGACAGACAGCCCTTTTAGATGGGGACCTGAATTTTGAGACTGTAGTGTTTTAAAGAGTACGTTTGAATTTCCAAAGTCACACAATAACACAAACAAATATTGCGACAAACCTTTATGGATGGATATCTACTGTAGGTAATACAACTCTACTTAAAAAAACTGAACTATCACCTTCCTGAATAAATAAATAAATAAATACAATAATTATACATTTATGTTGTGCTTTCCTCCCAGGGTCAGCTGTCCCCTGAGAGGCTGTTATGGAGCAGCCTTATCTGCGCTCTGCTGGGTTACGGACTGCACCAAGCCCTGACGTCTCAAGTGCAGTCGGGCTGTGAGCCGCGGACCCGTCTAGCTGACTTACAGAGTGCCACTATTTTTCTTTCCTTTACCTTTGGCTTCTCGCCCGTTCTGAAGACACTAACAGAGTCTGTGAGTACCGACACAGTGTACGCCATGTCTGCCATGATGCTGCTTGCCCACCTGGTGTCGTTCCCTTACGCCCAGCCCTCCCCCCCAGGCAGCCTCTCCCTGAATGCAGCCCTGTTTGCCTCTGTGTGTTTGGCCTCGAGGTTACCTGGGGCTCTGCACACCTTCGCCATGCTCAGCTGTGCCCTGCTGGTGTTTGCCCTGTGGCCCTGCCTGCTGCAGAGGCTCAGGGAGAAAGCCCCGAGCCACTTCACAGGGGTGTGTGTAGGAGTGTGTTTCGCAGGAGTGGGTGGTCTGGGGTCCCAGTGGCCAGGGGGGGCTGTGCTCTTAGCCCTGGCCTTGGGGAGCGTTACATTACTCTGCCCCCTGCTGCTAGTCAGACTGCAGAGGCACAAGGACAACATCCAAGGACCCTGGGATGAGGCTGAGATTCAAGAGGATCTCAGTCACTTCCTTCACTAATGGACACAGCCGAGATAAGCACACAGGTGTATAGCTGACATTTAAAGCTGCAAGACAACTGAGAATTGTATATGGATAACTGTCAGTCTGCAGTATTATGCTGCTGCTTTCAACTGACAAATGTTAACTTTGGTCCACATCTGACAGCCATTACAACTTTTTATACTCTTACAGTGAAAACTAAGATGTTTTTAATGCTGCTACTGTGTTTAAAGTGTTGATCTCAGACATGTAATGGAAGATATCAACTGACATGCAATGGTAACTTACATTACTGGATATTCCAGTTTTGCTTGCACCAATTTAATATAAGTGATATTTTAATATATGTGGGGGATGTTTCTATGTTTTTATAGATTTTGTACAGTTTGATGTTGTTAATAAATGGACAGATCCAAAGTGTTTAACCCAGGGAATTGCAAAATATGTTACAAGGAAACATTTGAAGTTAAAATGAAGGGCAATAAAGAAACCCTGTGTGAGTTCTTTTAATACAGTTCTAAGGAATTACCAGAAGTTTATTTTACATGGACAGCAGGTTACAAATGTTGATCTAGAGCTGAAAGAATTAATCCAGTAGTCGATAAACGGGAGAAAAAAGTATTTTCAAAACCGATTGTTTTAGTAATTCTTCGTGCACAAATATTGATACACTGCCACTATTCTCTGATTACAGCCTCAACTGAGATGATTTATTGTCTTTCTTTGTCATAAAACAAGGATTTAAGTATATATCGGGAATATATAAGACATTAAAAGATGTCATGTTTGGCTCTGTGACTTTGTGATGGTCATATCATAGATTAAATGAATTAATTTGATTAATTGAAAAAAAAGATTGCCAGATGACTCGATAAGGAAAAATGTCAATTCACAGCCCTAATGAAATGCAAGCCTTAACTATATTTTCAGTTTTTGTAATGTTTTCCAGTTTTTTCTTACAAATGTGAGTAACAATAAAAAAATGTTTTCTATTTCCGGTCACACCCCGCAGTGACGTCATGTTGCCGGTTAATGAAAACCAGCGCCATATGGCTCTGATGAAAACCACCTGTTGTATTTTTCGTGCTGCTTAAAAAACCTCAGCCAACAGAGAGCAGTAGTCCTCTGCTTTGACACACTAACTATTTATTTAACAAGAATAGTAACACGTTTCACCTCCATGTCGCTAACTTATTGTGTTATTTTTGTTCAACATCCAATGTGAAGAAGATTGGAACTGTAGTAACCTTTGTTTATTTTTGTTTTTGTTTGAATGTCAGCTAACGTTACAAGACAAAACGCTATCTTTTTCTTTTGATTATGGCTTTCCTTTAAACAAAATAAAAACTCACTACAAATACAACTAATTGTTTAGGTTACTATTTGTGAAACAATGTCATGAGTGACGAGAACAGTTTGATACTAGAGAGCATGAATGGAGCTTTACATGCAGTAAAACAGTATGTGTGATGGACGCTAGGTGTCATACCTTCGCCTCTCCTCTCCCCGGCTTGTTTTGAAATGTTACAGCGGGCCTTGCTCTGGGTTTTGCCCGCTGTGGTGGCGCCATTTATCCGCAGATGAAGCCCGACTTTGACACACAGTTCAGCCGCGCTGCCGGTGACTCTGCGTCCTCCCTTCCCCTCAGAGAACCCTGAGAGAACCGCACTTCCACAAACAAGCAAAGGACGCTTTTTAGGTTCCTTTGGAAGTGCGTCGTAGTAACCACGCGTCACAGTCCAGGTTTGCCAGAATACATTTTTGGGTATATGTAAAATAATGAGTTCTAAAGTTTTGATTTTGATTTGATAAGGTTTTATTTACATTGATTGGAGGCAAAATGGATATTGGTAATAAGACACCAAAATCAATTCAATGTCAGGGGCCCCTGTATAATAAGCCAAAACTACCACTATTAAACCTTGAATCGGCGCTTTGGACACAAAACAAGAAACATATCTTTGGTAGGCTAGCTCATATTCAATTTCTTATCCCACAGAGAAATTATTTTTGGTCCAGTTGTCCAGACATAAGGAAACAATGAAGTCCACAATAAAAAACAATAGAATTAGGCTACTTTAAAACACATTCATACTCATAATAAAACACATTCGATCCCATTGAGACTGAGACAGAATAAACAATAAGGTCAATTCAAATCCCCATCCAATATAAAGAAATCTAAAACATCATATAAACATGCAAAATAATTCTTGATAAAGCTGTATATTACGGTTTGATAAAATAGTATTTTATTATGTTTGAGTCTCTTTTACCAGGGCCGGATTGCTTTTGAGACTGCAGTTGGAGTAGGGGTAAACTATCCTGTAAGATTTTTGTTCCTGTTTTTGTTGGATGAGTTGTCTATAGGCTACTGCCTGTTTCTTGGTCAATGTACTAGGTTTTCCCCACTATACTGAATTGTAGTTGCAGCCTGTCTTGGCCCTTTTTTGTGCACTGGTTAACACACAAACGAAACAAATACAGAACTCGGTAAAAAACATTAGTAGAATATCACAGTTCACATTATTATTTTAAGGCTTGCAAAAAGTTAATTCTCTTTGCAATTTCTTAAATGTTTAAAGAGGCACAGTCCCCAAAATTAAATTTATTTATCTACGTTTGGAGCAGACACACCAACTCATAATATTTCATCTTAAATATTATCTGATTCATTCTTGTCAAGGAAAATAGTGTTTGATTGTGACATTGAAATTAAGCTGTAATTATTATGTAGTGGCCCCTTACACCAACCACAAGGGCCTCTATACATCTTTTGACCGTAGTTAGCAAACTGCTGGCATACACGACCGCTGTAAAAGTGAGTAAAGTGATTTGGCAAAGTAGAAATACCACAGATAAAAACAATCTGTAACAAAGTGTTAGAATTGATTACTGCCACAGAAAACCTAAAATAAGAGAAACCAGGATTCATGTTAAAAAATATAACCTGTTTATTCAAAAACATTGAAAATAGTGCATGTGCGTTCTGTTTTAGTAGAATAACTCAAATTTGGTATTTCTATTTACACAAGGTTCAGGCACTCTTGGAAAGTAGGCAGACGAGCACATTCCGGCATTTATGGCCAATGGTATTATGTACAAAACAGGCCGCTCAAGACTCAGTGAATTAGCAGACGGCAGCTCCCAGAGGAGAGAAGCCCAGCAGAGCTTCAGCTGGAGGACACATCACAAAGGTCAGAGGTCTCTGAGCAGCAGCGAGCTGAGGTTTAGAGGATCACTTGTATCGATGGGTAATGGAGTTCTGAGTAGAAAATACTGTTATTTCACATTTGGGATAGCTGGAGGATGCCTCCTGGAGAGAAGATCAGATTAAATATATTAATATAATGTTCAATATAATATAACAAGATTACCAAAACACACAGTATTGCATTCTACAGTCCAAAAATATATTTTACAAGGAGCGACAAATGCAATACTGTGCCTGGTTCTTGTGAGTTGTTATGACCCACCATTGATGTGCTTGGTTCTAATTAAGGCAGACAAAATAAATGTAATATAGATAATATTGTCTGATCCCTCATAAGTGTAGTTATACTGCAGCTAACTCTGCTGTTGCCAGGAAAAAACAACCTTTCAAAATGTATAATAAAATAAATGAATAAAATAAAAATAAAGAAAGTGTACATTTCTAACAAAAGTCTTTACTGCAGCTATAAAAAAAAAGAAAGGGAAAAGGCCCTCACTTATCTGATGAGCTCTTGTCTAAAGGCTTACCATGAAACATGTAAAAACCTTTACATTAAAAAGTATATTGGTTTGGTAGTGTTTGAAAAAGAACACAGAAAAGGATTGGTGAATAACAGCTTGGAAATAATGGTTATATTACTGTTATCTGAGATAGCTATAATATACATAAGACAGCAGTTTGTTACAGAACAAAAAAGATATGATGTGAAATTTGGAGATGAGCAAATCAAAATGTTGGAGCACTTTGTTTCAGGGTTCATTGTTCCCTCACATATTTCCATATACAATTTTTTGGTATTTTTATTTGGCAATATTTATTTTTAACTTGCTGTAATACTGCACCATATTAAGATTGTTAAACAATTCATGGCCTCGTGGATTAACAGACATTACAGTGATTTTCAATAAATATAGGCAAGAAATAAAAATCATGCCCCCACATACTGTATATCTATAGGGGAGAGAGTCTGAGTAAGGAGAGAGGCATAAAGTAGGATGGAAAGAGTCAAAGGAAAGAGGGAGACCATGCGGGAAAGAACCTAAAGAACCATTGGAGAGCACAGAGGAAATGAGGCAGAGAGAAAAAGGAGAGACCGGCCAAAAGCAGGGGAGGAACCAGTGAAAGAGGAGAAGGGGAGAAATGTACGAGAAAAAGAAGCGGGGGGAAAAAAGGGAAAATAACGGTTATTGCATGAGAGAAACTGGGGAAGGGCAATAAAACAAATTCATGCTAGGAGAAAAAGGGAAAAGGGGGGATGAAGCGCAGAGAGAAAGATGAAAACTTGACAGAGTGCTCAGCCTGTTGTCTCTGGCTCCAGTAGAAAGCTGCACAGAGAAGTCTACTGAGGCTGATGGGAAAGAGAATATGAGAAACACATTTTCCAGCAGACCCCCACCCAGCTCAAATAACAATTCCCTCTGCCCCTGTAGCGCAAGGTTTCATTGTGTGTACGTGAGCATGCATATAAGCCAGTGCATGTTTAAATGGCAGACTGGAGGACATCATAAAGTAGCGAGGTTATGGCGTGGTTTCAGAGTCACCTTGGCACACTAGGTGGAGCACGGTGATGTTGCCTAGCGATCTGCTGAAGGCTGTCGGTGCTCTTGGAAGAAGCATTAGAGGGCACTCGAGGGACGGATGGGGCATGGCCTCGAACACTGCCACTGGTCTTTTTAGGGAGTGTCGGGCTAGGTGGAGAAGAGAACTTTGAGTGACAGGTAGAGAGGTAGCACAGTTTTCTGAATGTACACTGAAAAACTGAAACTTGAATTGAATGTATTAAAGGTGGGGAATGTAATTTTGGAGAAACCAGCTCGAGTGCGCTAGAATTTGAAAGTACACAACCGGAAAAAATCTGCCTCTTCCTTCAGACTTCCTTACAGAGCCCCTCCTCCAACACACACAAACGCACACATGACCAATGAGGGCATGAGATACGTTTGTGCACAGATGGAAGGCTGACAGGCAGGTAGGCCATCCAGTTATTTTAGCCGAGTCGGCTAAAATAATTGGTCGTGCTTTTTACAGTACTACGGCTTCCACAGATTAATTTTTTTTATGTATTTATTGTCAAAGCATTTAAGATATTCATTGCTATCGGGATGTTAAGAGCATTCCATGAAATATAACAAAAAGTGTTTCTGAAATAAATTACATACCCCACCTTTAAGTCAACAAATTAAACATAATTGTATAAGGTTAGTTGAAAGCAATAATATTAAGTTGAACCTAATATTTTTCAGTGTACCTTTGCATCTCTGTAGTTTATATATGTCTGTACCTGGAGGGCCGTATCCAGGAGGAGTCTACAGGTGGAGGCAGAGGGGTTGTGCAGGTAGAGGTGGAGAACTTTCCAATGACAGCGAGCGCCTCCTTCAGGGCGGCGTGCTTGCAGAGAACTTCCTCCCGGTGCTTCTGCTGCTCCGTTGACTCATCCATCAGCGCTGAGCATTCTCCCAGAGCGTAGAGCTGGGCCAGGAGCTCAGAGCTAATGAACTCCTTCACCTACGGAGAGGGATTATTAACAGCTGTGACCAGTCAAATTGTAAGAGTTTGTAAAGTGATATTTTAGTCCGATTTGGGATTTTGGCTCCAAATTCTTGAAGGCGTTGTGCAAATCATTGTCTTTTTTTTTCTTTGGTCTCCCCTTTCTTTTTTTAATTCATTGAAATATGATCAAATAGCGTTTCAAATTGGTGAAGACTTGTAAAGAAACACATATTCATATGGAAAAGTAATGAGGAAGATTGATGCCAAACAAAGTCACTTTAAGGGTTTGAGAGACAAGAAAAGTGCTGATTTTGTTGGACTGTGGTGAGCAAAAATGATTCAAAACAGTTAAAGAGTCTGGTCTGTCTTACACTGTTGATCATGAGGTGCATAATGGTCTTTGGCATGAGGTCCTTGATGGTCTTATAGATGATGCTCATGTAGGATTCCACCAGGTTACGGATGGTCTCCACCTGACGCTCCAACTGAGGGTCTGTGAAGTTCTCAGGAGCTCCATTTCCCTGCTCATCCACCTAGGTGAAGGAGGGGATGGAGTAAGGAGCATATACAATTCTAAGATTGTCCTCATGTGTTTTAAACAAGGATACATACTATAGTGTGATAGAAAAACTAAGCTAATAACGTTAATACAGATTTGTGAAGCAATTACGATTTGTCTTATGTGTATTTCCAAATCTGCTAATCTATTCTATGCTTTTTTTTATTAAGCCACTACGATAGGACCAGGGAGAGCAGAATAGGGGAAGCACAGGAGAGGGGGGTAGGGAGGAGGGGGCAGACGAAAGAAAAGGGGGAGTGGGTGAGGGATAAGGAACTGTTGATTAGAAACAGACTGGAACACACACACACACACACACATGTTGTAGTGACATCATGGACCAAGAATGCTGTGCTGAAGAGCCAACGACAGAGCGAGATGGAAGGGGTGGGGGACTTGCAGTTTTTGCTTTTGGCAGGGGAAGAGAAGGGGGAACATGGAGAGAAGGGTACGGGGTTATTGTCAGGGATTAAGGTGAGCAAAGTCAATGAGGGCATACGACACAAACGCTAAAGGTGCAGCTCCCCACAGCTGAAGGTCAGGGTGGGGTTTAATTTGGTTGAATTGGGGGTCAGAGTACTAACTGCGACTTTCTCAGGGTAAACTCCGGCCTGCAGCAGAGACGCCTTCCAGCTGTCCAACTGCTCCTGAGAGCCACACGCCAACTCCAGGCTTTTGTAGTCTTTATACACGTTCCTGCAAATCAGTGCAACATTGTCAAACATCTCCAAGCTTTGGATAATAATGCGTTTTTCACAATACAGAGTAATAAACACAGAAGTGCTGAATGAGCCTATAAGACAAGAATTACTCAAAAAGGAACTCTGAACTTTTAGTAATGACTGGTTATTACTGTGTTTTTCTTCCCGTGGCAACATAGGTTATGTAGCCAGGGTTTTGTCCCAATGTGTGGAATAATTTTAAGCTAGAGCAACAATGTTTTTAGTTATTTAAAGCTATGCAACGTCTCCTATTTCTCACCAGTTTAACTTCCAGTGGAAACAAAATAAGTATTACTTCAGGTCTTGTGGAAAGAGAGGAGAGTAGTCTCAAGTAAAGTGTTTCCTTCTAAACATTGTCAAATTCAGACTATCACGTATCTTTTGAGCTATTACTTTTGAGAGGAGGCCAATCATTTACTATTAGTTAGTGCGTAGTTTCCTGAAAAATGAAAATATATATTCATAATGGCCCATTGACAAGATTTTGAATTTACATTTGTTGTTTAAAAATAATAATTAGTTATGGACTTTCTTGTTTTAAAGGTGGGGTAGGTAAGTTTGAGAAACCGGCTCGAGATACACTTTTTGTTATATTCCATGGAATGCTCTTAACATCCTGATAGCAATGAATATCTTAAGTGCCTTGACAAAAAATCCATTAAAAAATGTCATCTGTGGAAGCCGTAGTACTGTAAAAAGCACGACCAATCATTTTAGCCGGCCCGGCTAAAATGACTGGATGGCTTACCTGCCTGTCAGCCTTCCATCTGTGTACAAACTTATCTCGTGCCCTCATTGGTCATGTGCGCGTTCGTGTGTGTTGGAGGAGGGGCTCTGTAAGGAAGTGGCAGATTTTTTCCGGCTGTGTATTTTCAAATTCTAGCGCACTCGAGCTGGTTTCTCCCAAATTACCTACCCCACCTTTAACTGTGCACAATGTTACAAATAAATTGTAAAAAAAACAATTTTGTCAATTATTTGCCAGAACCTCCATGCAACATGTATAAACAAATATGAACAGAACAGCCTGGTCCAGTTGACGGTGTGTTAACACTGGACATTTATATAAATGGAGCACTGGCTGACCTTTGCCCTCTTCCTGCATCCTGTGTAAATGACCTGACACAGGGGTATACATCCATGGGTAGCACAGGTCATTGAGTTTATATTAAAAAGGGCCCCACCAGAGTGAACCCTGTGTTGGGAACCACAGATTGAACACAGATCACTGACGGAAGAAGAATTGTTTAACAAGTTTGAACGTTTTCACCAAAATGTGATACACTCCTTTAAATGCAATATTGTATATAAAAAGAGGGAGACGCACACAAGCGCTTGCAACAAGGCAGATACACACACATCCACAGAGACACACAATAAATCAGTTTATCAGTTTCTACTGCTGTGCTTGACATGACCACAGTTAGTGCAACCCTTATCTCCATCATCTATTTTCTCTACATTTCCCAGCTCTTCTTTCCACTCCATCTTTTCTCTCTCTTCACACCATCACAGCATCTCTGTGCTTTGGCTGCGATGGAAACACAGCAACGTAAGAAACAATCAAAGGATCTGGAGCAGGCAGCGGCCCATCTGTTAAACATTTTTCTTTAATCACTCCGTTTTTTCTTTCCTCCTTTTGTTCCATTCTCACATTCAGAACACATAGCAATTAACCTCAAATATGTGAAACAGACATGGAAAGAGAAAAAGGGATAGACTGCAGCAACATAAAGGGAAACAGACAGATTTAGCCGTCAGTTGGAGAGCTTATGGCTGAGCTAGGATGGGTGAGGTTAATAAGTCAGGGTGTGGTGGCTCACAGACGGGGAGCCAGGCCAACAATGACAATACTAGAGTGCTATAACACTCAAATCAGAACACTAACATGCGTATACACCAGTGAGCACACATTAAAATTGTTCTCTGCGCTGATTTATCACTCACTTCAACTTTTTTCATCCCCTTTGCTATCCTCTCCTCAGCTTGTAGCCAGTGTGAGTTTTTTTTCACTCAGTTTCCTGAGGTTTTGGATTACTGTTAGACAGGGACAAAACCACTGCAATGTCTGACACACACACACACACACACACACACACACACACACACACACACACACACACACACACACACACACACACACACACACACACACACACACACACACACACACACACACACACACACACACACACACACACACACCACACACACACACACACACACACACCACACACACACACACTACACACACTACACACACACACACACACACACACACACACCACACACACCAACACATCACGATGTCACACACACACACACACACACCACAGCACACACACACACACGACCACACACACACCAATATACTATAACAGAGAAAGAGCTCAGTAAATTGTTTTTGGGGGGCGGCCATAGTACAGAATTTGACACATTCCTGTGCCTATTTCTCTGATACTCTCTCTCCCTCTTTGCTTTCTGCTCTCACCCTTCCATTCTTCTTTCTCCCTCCTTTTTGTGTGAGTCGAGCAATTCTTTCCAAACAAGAGCAGCCTCAACTCTGATCCAAGCTCTCTGGCTTTGATTAGCTGCTTAATGAGCCTGCCGTCGGTATGCTGTGGTCTATATCTCCACACAGACGCACACACACACACACACCCACACACACCACACACACACCCACAACACACACACACACACAACACACACACACACACACACACACACACACACACACACACACACACACACACACACACACACACACACACACACACACACACACACACACACACACACACACACACACACACACACACACACACACACACACACACACACACACAATGCAGCATAGCACAGAATTATAAACAAAAGCCCACATGCTCTGGTACAATCAGTCAGGCATTGGGTCAGATCCAGCTGCTAAACACTCTCTGTCTCTTTCTCTCTTTCCTTCTCTTTGTCTCACAGTCTTTCCCAATCTGTTTCACACATAAACCAAGCAAACACAGCCCTACCCTCAACAGCCTGGCATATACTTGGAGGCAAAAAAACGACACCCGCTGCAGTACACACTGGATATCCTTTCAATTCCAGTGGTGGCAAAGTTGAATGGAAGAGGTCAAAGGAAGGGCAAAACACCACTCTGACATCTCCTCCCTTTTCCTCCTCTGTCATGTCCACCCTTGTGAAACATCCCTTAAACTTCAGCAAGCAGGTGACGAGAGCAGAACTCCCTTTTTTCTGATTCATGCGCATACTGTACGCACAGAGGCCTCCAGCCACACACAAAACAAACCTTAACTCTGTGTTGAAGAGAGCGAAGACACACTTGCTGGACATGAAGGTCTTCTCCACATCTCTGAACCTTAGGTTGTCCAGGTGGAGCATGTACTTCTTCTCTTTCTCCTGGAAAACACAGAATGCAGAGAGATAAAGCTTGACAAATGCTGATGACTCAAATATGAAATCACAGAGGTAACACAGATGTTGATAGCCAACACAACAGACAATTAAGCAAGTTGAGTTTAGCTAAAATAGCTTTTTGTCTCATAGTAAATATTCTTTTTTCTGCTCCTTTTTAAGGAAGACTGTGGCAGAGAGACTGTACAAGTGTCAGAAGGTGAAGGTGAACGAGCACCTGAGTTCATATCATGATGATGTGTCTGCAAGTCAGACGGATTCACAGTCACAGCCCACTTACTAGCGAAATAGAGACAGTGGGAGACAAAGAAAAAAAGGGGACACCATAAGTCTGCACTCTGTCATCACCATGGGGACTTGTGAGCGACAGGGAACAGTTGGAGGAGACTAGCGGCCAGTGTGAGGAGAACCAGACAGTACGGAGGCAGGGTACAGAGAAGTGAAACAGGGAGGGAGGGAATGAGAGAAGGAGTACGAAAAAAAAGGAGGGAGAGAGGCCGGGCCCACATGTGAAAGTCATTACTCAGACTCAAGCTCTAACACAACATTTTTCCTAAAGTGAAGCCCTTCCCCCTCATCTCTCTTCCTCGGCCTGCTCCCTCCTGCTAACGTTTGAGAAGGAGGCTTGCAGAAAGGTTGGTTAGAGGAACGGCCATGGGTGAGGTAAAGAGAGGGAGAAGTATGAGATAGAGAGGCAACTTCTATATAATAGACAACTAGAGCATGCATGCAAAAGATGGAGTCCTAAAAATCTTGGACGTTGTGCATGTGGATGCATTTGTGTCTTTGCACACATGTGGTATGAGATGCAAGAGTGCATTTGCACATTTCCGTCTTCCCTCTTTCAATCCTCCCCTGAACCCTACGACTCTCTTCCTCCGGCCCTCTTTCCTTTTTTCCAGAGGGGCCCACTTCCTGTTACAGAGGCTAAAAGAAATGACAGGACGGGATTGGCGCTCATTCAGCAACATCTGGGATCGCTTTGGACAAAGGGGGAGGAGACTGGAGAACGTATAGGGTCCTATGATGGGGTAGGAATAGAAAGTAGAGATGATGAAGAGAGGAAGACGAGGGATAGAGGTGGACAGATGGATTTGAATTTTCGCTAGAATAGAACAGGAAGGGTTGAGGGACATACAGAGCAGAGGGAAGTGAACAGGAGAAGTTGGGAGAAACTGCAGACCTCTCCAAAGTTGATTCCCCATGGGTCCCATCAACCCATATATGGCTGCTAAGTTCCTCCCTAACTCTCTCTAGTTCTCTCCCTCCCTGCATTTCCTTATGACTTCCTCGAGTGAACAGGCAGATCCCGAGCTGAATGAGTGAATGTGCCACGTCAAGACTGGATACTACACCGGGACACAGCCCTGCGGACGCCCGACTCAAGACACATCTCCAGAGGAGGGACAACCATCGGAGTGGATGTCTGATGTCTGTGAGACCCCTCGCCTTGTGACCCAGCACCGAGGATAAGATAGTAGTATAACAGAGCAAATCTTTCCGAATCTTCTCCGCCACTGGCAGGACTGCTAGCAAACAGCCAGAGCGGGAAAAGCCGAAGCCGCAGAGAAAGTGAGAAAGGGTCCTGCTCCGTCATCCCAGTGTTCAGACTACCTGTTCAGGATCTTACTGGTGTACAGTAGTCTGCACATTGGTTAGACTGTGCAAGGAAAAGCAAGATTCGGGAGACATTGAAAACATGCATGTACGCTATTCTGATGCAAATGAAGGGTCTATTAATATGATTTTTCTTTCCTGAACTGATGCAAATGCCTTTAAATGTGCATTCACTATCACACTCTTTCAATGCAGTCACTAACTCTATTTCAAGCATAATGCATCCATTTTCTAGCATTGATCATCTTTAATTAGGTGCTATCTACATACAATGCATCACATTTTAGTAGTGACTGTTGTTTTACCAGTAATTAGGGCAGAAAAGCTCATTAAATTAAACTAGCCAATTCATTTAGCTTATTTTTCAAAATCTCAAAATGGACTTGTTCCTCTCATTGGGTATTTGGAGCTCCTGCATGTGCATCTGCGTGGCAACATGATAACTCTAGCGTTCAAAGACATTGTGGCACTGTGTTGTTTATGCATGTGTGTGTCATATTCCCAGCTGTGTCAGGGTGGTTGTGAAGTATCATACATCAGAGCCGCTTTGTCTCCTTTTAGTCCAGACTAATGGATTTGAGATATTGAGCAGGCCTCACATACACACACACACCTACACACAGAGTGGGGAGCATGTAGATTAAGTGTATATGCATGAGCCGTCTGTTTTTCTTCAGACTGCCTGGTGGTGCCCTGGCAGTGGAGGGGTTGAAGGAATGTATGTCTGTTCAGTGTGCTGTGGAGATTAAACTCTGAAGTACTATACTGCACTCTCAGTATGAGGTCAGTGTGAGGGTACAACTGTTCAGGAGATGAACTGTACGGCCTTCAGACATTAAAAGATTGGAGTGTGTAGAAGAAATCAACAGGGATGGAGAGTGGAGGTTGAAAGGGATAAAGTAAAAGGGGGGGGGGGGCGGGTTGTGTTTGAGAGAGAGACTGTGGAGGAGTTTAGAGGAGAGGGGGGAGGTCTGCAGTGTAGAAACAGCCATGTGGGATTTCTCTGGGCAGATCTTGGAAGCTGGTGTTTGGACAAAGCTTCAGATTTTCCAGCCAGGAATGTGCACAGTCCCAGGGAGACTGCCAACCACAGAGAGGGGGAGAAGGAGAAAGAGGGGGAGACAGAGAGAGGCAGACAGACAGACAGAGAGAGAGAGAGAGAGCGGAGGAGGAAAAGGCAACAGAGGTAAAGAAAAATAAAATAGTTAAGCAAAAAAAGAAATGCCTGTGGAAGGTAGTGTGGGCAGGGAGAGTGAGAGCGGGAACTGTGAGAGAGAAGAAGCAGACGTTTGGCCTGTGTGTGTGTGTGTGTGTGTGTGTGTGTGTGTGTGTGTGTGTGTGTGTGTGTGTGTGTGTGTGTGTGTGTGTGTGTGTGTGTGTGTGTGTGTGTGTGCACATGCATGTGGAAGGGCAGTAGATTTGATCTTCTATAATAATATGGGTGACTAATTTTGCACTCAGGCCTTCTAAACACAGCAGATAAACCAACCAGTGTAATAAGGAGGTGCAAGGATTAAACACTGACAAGACCAAGACCAACTGAACCACAAAATAATTAAAAGTTGTAGCCTTTTATATTAGCTTCTATCATATAGTGGAGCATGCGTGTCTCATTGTGAGCTGCTGACAGCCAAAGTTTGTTGCTCTGATGTGGTCAACAGATATCTGCGTGCCTGTCTTTGTATTATGTGTTGCAGATGTGCTAAGTCTTTGTGTGTGTGAGTTGATTTGATCCTAAGGAGTTGACAGTGAGAGGAAAACCTATAACAGTGTGTGTGTACAATATGCATGCCTGGGGCTGTGTCTGGGAACACTGTGTTCAAGAGGGCCAGTGTTTATCTGAAAAGTGACTGTGTGTCTGTCTGACTCAGTGTATATTTTTGTCCACTTTTGCATCCCAGTTTGTTTACATCAGACTCTGCATGTGTACTATATACTGTATATACAAGTCTGTCCACTGTGTGTGTTTGCGTGTGCATGTGTGTGTAAGTGTGTGTCTCAGTTTGGCTTGGGGCAGCTCCAGCTGTGTCAGAGTGAGCCGCTCCAAATGCCTTAACTCCCAGAAGAGGAAGAAGAGGGGGAGTGAGGGGAAGAGTGAGCGGAGAGCGGGACGAATAGGGAGGGAAGGGGGGGGGGGGGGGGGTGTCAGAGGAATGAATGGGGGAAACGGAGGGGCTCACTAGCAGGTCCAGGTGGCAGGAGAAAAAGCAAAGCAAACAGTTAGCTGGACAGCAAACTGGGTTACAGATGCTCTTTTAGTTTGCTTTTTTTATGTCGCAAATAATTTATAAAGAGAGGGTTTGTCTGTTTAGATGTAACCACGACAGAGTCAACTGTCAACCGAAACACAACTCAATTTAATCCACAACAAACAACAACCACGTCTACAGCATTTGCATCCAGATGTGGTTCTTGTTTATATCCATTTACAAATGCTGTTCCCCTCTTTTGATCACACATCCTGCCCTCTGCCCTTCCTTCTTCCCATGACATCAACAGTGACAGGATGAGTCTGTTGTGATGTGTCTGCCTGTCTACACTTGCTGTGCAGACCTTCTGCTCCTGTACAGCAGGCACAGACAGGCAGACAGATGGCAGCCCACCTGACATGACAACAGAGGGCCATAACATCTTCAATTAACGTCAAACAAAACGGCAGAGGGTTGACCAAAACTGTGACAACAGAATCAACAGATGAGAGATTCCCCTTGTGTTTAATTATCTCTCATCCTCCAAATTGATATTCTGTTTCAAGCTGAGATATGTGTTAATAAACATGTGTTAATTAAATAGTGTACTGTTGTGTTGTCTTGGTGTGATCTTTTTTCAAGTGTGAGTGCCTCACCTCATCATCCTTGAACCAGGACAGGCTCTCTGCACTGAGGATGAACCAGTATTCTTTGGCTCCACCTTTCATGATGCCGAGGTTGCTGATGGTCAGCCAGCCCTTGCGTATGACCTGCACAACAGCCAAGGATAAGGAGACCAGATGGCAGAACTGATAGGAACACCACAATAGCATTCAAAGGACAGTTTTATGGAAAAAAAGATAGCAATTAACAACTAGTATGATGGTGCAAAGCAGGTCACAGTAAATAGTTGACACTGAAGAAAGTAAATATTTGCCACTGAAGGACAGATATATGACTGATAATGCAGCCATGACCTATTACCATTCCACTGACCACCAGTCAAAGAGAAACTGGATGCACACAAAGAAATGCAAAGTAAGCATAGAAACACAAGTAACCAAACACATTTGGAGAAACAGGATGCGAGGGACTGGAAGAAAGATATGTGATGAATAAGAGAACAGGAAGTATGAGATAACATAAAGATACCAAGAAATGAAACAGACATCCTGCAGATTATGAGGATATTAACATCTGCACATATTTATGGCGCAGAGGAACTGCAAACAGTGAAGATGATTAGGTTTTGACAGAGAAGAAACACTGCTAACTGTAACTGTAAGAGGAAAATAGTTTGAAAGGTTAGCAGTGCATCAGTTGCAGGGGATGAAATACGTAATAAAGAAAGCTGCAATAAGCCATGTGCCAGTGTGCATGTTTGCTATAAGTCGCATGCCAACCCAGAACCCTTTAAGATTGAATCCCGCACACAAATATTTCCAGTAGAGGCAGCAGTGAGTGAGGAGGCTTAAAGAGATTGGACTCCTACTATTAGTCTTGAAGGAGCGGCCACACCCTGGAGACACAAGGAGATGAGGGAGCAAAATCAAGAGTTAATTTGTTTACTATAATAAGGGGCGATTGCGTTTTTTCGAGGATGACACTGATACTGATCTTGCTACTATGAAAGCAACATGAGAAGTTATGTAAATAACTGACAAGATTTCTTATGCTGCGGTTAACATTTACTGCTGTTCACAAATCTTATAATCTCAAATTAAGGATCCAGACCAAAGCACAATAATAGTGGGATAGTGTTTTTAATTATTCCTGCTTTAAAATGTGTCACACGAGTATTCTGTTACAAATTAATCATAACAGATTGAAACCAAAATCCTGCTTCGTTTTCGCTTTCCTGCATTCCTATGAGAAGCCAAGATCAACTCTGGTTGCGTGATTGGACCCTTAATCCCCTCTTGTAAAAATCACAAAATATCTAATTAATCTGCTGCTTGGAATTCTAATGTGTGCCGACTAATGGATAACACATGGGAGGGTGACATTACTGAAAATAAAGCAAAATGTAAGATGGATGATACAAATTCAGTTCATAACCATGCACATTCCAATGTTGCACTGCAGTGAACCGTTGCTAGTAGATGTGCAATATGAGTGTTTAAACCTGAAAGTATTATCATTTAATTGGAGTAAACTGTCATGCACAGATTGTGTTTATTTATTTGACTAAGATTCTGGATAACACTGAGTAAAACAAGACTAAAAGCGTATAGACAGACTTTTCCTAACCTTCTGGTGACACTACTGTAGATCAGAAATTCTGAATCATCCTCCTGGGATCATGTGTGTTTTTACTCAATTCAAAGTCGATGTATTTAACAGTGGAGGAGATCTTTCACTCTGACAAAAGTTATGGACTATTGGCCTGGCTTACTTAGTCTATCTGTTGCCATCACCATATAACTGCCAGTTGGGTAAGAATGGTTTAAAATACTGTACAAATATATATGTTTGGCTAATCATAGATAGATAGATAGATAGATAGATAGATAGATAGATAGATAGATAGATAGATATGGATGAATTAATTCAGTACTACTGAAAGACTTACATGGTTTGCTGCCATCCCTGCATTAGTCTTCTTGTTGGCTTGGTTGTTCGTCTGCTGGGCTCTAAAGGAGAGGATGAGGTCATATTATTCACTCTTTTAACATGCTATAATATATAGTATATTTTTTTATTTCAAAACTGAAGAGGATGCTTACATGGTAAAGCCAATGAAATCTTCATGTTTGGTATTTATATAGGCAAGTTGTATTTCAATTAACATCAATACCTGAACAGAATAGATATACATTAATTAGAAAAACATGATGTATCCAATAAAGTTATTTGAAAATAAGTTGCAATTCCAATATGTGTGAACAACCTGCTCTTTGCATTTACTCTCTTGCTCTTGTATTTCAGTGGTAACAAGTCTCTCCGTTTCTTCTTGCAGTTTGGGAAAAGAACTGAGCTACAGAGGGAAATCAGACCAGAAGTTAAAGCAAGTTCTGACACATTCAAACACACACTACATCACACAGTTACACAACACACATACACATGTGTACCTTGTTGATGCACTGGTACAGAGTGGTGATTAGTTCTTGACTGACCATGTCAACAAATTTAATGCAGGGCCCCTTTAAACATAATAACTGTTTCTTCACTATTGCTTCAAAGGCCATGTCAGGAGTGAACAGACCTGTCCTATAGGCAGAGAGAGGAAGATGGAGGAAAGGAAGAACAAATAAATAAGGTAGATACAAAAATAATTACTTATAAATTAGCATTTGTTCAGTACTCTATATCACACCTGACACCGTGGATATTTCTGATGGCATAGTTGATCTCTTGCCGCAGCTTCTTCTCATCTGACTCAATCTGAAGACGACACAGAGTACACTGTCAGCCAAAGCTGAACACAGTTAAGCTCAAAAGTTATTGATGCACGTACAGATTTCATGGACCTACTGTAAGATGAGCACTTATATATTTGGTGGATTCTAATTTGATTTAACTTTACTGGAGACTTACGCTAACCATTATTGTAACTTGCCTAATACTTACCCTTCTCGAACCTTAAAACAAGTCCTTATTCTAAAATGTAATGACTTACATTATATGGACATGCATTTTGTCCCCAAAAGAAAAGCACAATGTCACTACAGATGTATGTCCCTACAACATAAGTTTTACACGCCCACACACCTGGACCAGTTCATAGGGAAAGCGCTCATGGAAGATTCGGTTGATCTTAGCTCCTCCTGACAGATTGACAGTGTCCACTGTGTCACCTGAGCCCTCGATGAGCTTCTCAAAGTCAACAGCCAAGCGCTGAGCTAACCTGGAAGACAGAAACACATAAACCAGGAGAAACACTGACATAAATAGTTTAAAAGACAACAAACACACACACTTCAAAAACGTTTGACTGACTGACTGTAGCAGTGTCTTGGTCCTCCGAGCAGGGTCATCAGGACTAAACTGTTTGAACTCTTCAGCCTTTTTGTTCAGGCTCAGAAGCTGGCTCTGCAGGTGACTGCGGAAGGCTGGCAGACTTTCCCTGATGTGGTTTGTCAGTTGCTGCAAATAGACATTATCAGTAACAATACATACACACATAATATATCATTTCTCTATGTGTGTGTGCATTTTGAACCTGGTTAAGTGTTTTTTGTAAATATGGGGTGCCCATGCTTTCAGCCATGTGTTTGTAGGACGGATGGGACAAGAAGAAATTCTTCTCTGCAAGCAGGGCTGCCTTTATATCCTTTTTCCCAACAACGTCCTTCTGACTGCGGTTCACCACCCCTATGTAACCTTGGGAGGAAGAGATGAGAAGGGAAATGAAGAGCATGTGATCATTGTAAGTGAGACAATGAGCAACAAGAGGAAGGAACAATCAAGGTCTCTGTTGTTAGACAGATTCAACTTTCATTTAACATGTCCTTGAAAATTCTTCCCATACTGCCATTTGTTCCAGTGGGACTATCACATAAGCAGGATATTAATATGTGTGTTAAACAGCACAGCATGTGTTATAGAGCAGGCCAAACATCCCTGTTTAGTGCAGTAATAGAACCAGGCTCCATATCTAATGCTTTAGCTCTCTGCTGCTACTAGGGCAGTTATTTCAATGGGCCTCCATGGCTAATGCATTAGCACTGGAGGAGAAGCATGAAGGAGCTAGCACCTGGTGAGGCTTTACTCAGTCTGCATTACACTCTCACAGGAGCTCTCTCTCTCTCTCTCCCTCTCTCTCCCCCTCTCTCTCTCTCTCTCCACATTTTTACAAGCCATTAATATGATCTCTGTCTATCTGTCTTTACACACAAGAACCAAATGTGCATGCACATACTCAATGGCATACTGAGAACACACACAACACACCACACAAACACACACAAACACACACACACACACACACCACACACACACACACACACACAACACACACACACAACACAACACACACACACACACACGACACCACACACACACACACACACACACACACACACACACACACACACCACACACACACACACACACACACACACACACACACACACACTCACACACACACACACAACACACACACACACACACACACACACACACACACACACACACACACACACACACACACACACACACACACACACACACACACACACACACACACACACACACACAACACACACACACACCTACCTCTGCGTAGGGGAAGCAACCTGTTCTCTAGAATGTTCCGGGCATCTGTTCCTTTATCCATCAGGTCTAGCTTAGTGATTACACCAATCGTGCGCTGGCCTAAAAAGAAGATGAAGAATATAAGGACATTTCATGGGCTCCAAATGTAAAATCATATCAAGTATAAAAGATTAATGACAACCACTTAACCTTTTAGACATAAACATTACCATTGTAATAATCTGATCATTAATTCCTGTGAAGACATTAGCGGGACGAGCCTTATTCTCAGGCCATAATGAAACCCCCCATACTCTACAAGCCTGACTTACCCTGTGGGTCAACATCTTTGGCCAGTTTGAGTGCATCAGAGTTGGCCAGGTCAGTGTTGGCAGGCGTGACAGCCAGGATGAGACAGTTGTCCTTACAGATGTACTGCATGATCATGTCTCGTATCTGGTACTCTATGTCTGCCGGCTGGTCGCCTACAGGCACCTTGGTGATGCCAGGCAGGTCTACAAGAGTCAGGTTCAGCACTGCAGACACACACATGCACAAAGGTACAAATAAACACAAGTCATTCATATCTCAGATAAATAAACTGAATTGGATATTTCTAGTTGAACACACAAGTACACATTGTGTTACCGTTTGGTGAATAAATCCGTAGGTTGATGGGGACAGGAGAGATGCCTTTATTTGATCCTGTGATTCTTTGTGTCTCTGCCTCAATCTCTCTGCAAATCTCATCAAAGTCTGTGAACTTCTTTCCTTTACAATGTAAAAATTCACCGTGCTCTGGAAAAATAAAGAATGAGCAGGGGGAACATGATCAGTTAAACAATGGTAGAATCATAGAGTAATCAAGCCTGTCCAGTCCAAAAAAAAAAGTTTTTGAGCCAGACGACAAAAGCCTAGTACAATACAGCAGGATACTTAAATGCTATTTCATAAAGTCCATGTCCTAAAAGCCATATGAGATTGCAAGAGGGCCAAATGATACAGGATAGGATCATATGAAACCATATTAGATCACAAGATGACAATTCAAGCACTGTCCCAGCAGTCGGGCTGAGCCATTGTAAAATGTCATACTGCCATCTGGTGGCAGGCAGCTTCAGAATGGCAGTGATGACTGTGATGTGTGTCTTACCTACCAGTGTCAGCGGTAAGCAGCTGGAGGATTAAAGGTCTGCGTGTGACCATTCCTGAACCCCGTGGAAGGAAGTCTCTGTGAGAATAGAAAGAGATTGGAGCAAATTGGATACACACAGACACACACTGGCACATTAAATGTCAAAGCAAACTTGCATCAAGATTAGTCTGAACACTAGCTTGACATATATTATCCACAATTACCTTAAATATTGTGCATGCACAGGTGAGACTATTACCCTAAAAGTATGTGTAAGCTGCTAATAGGCAGAATAAAGCATTGTGGGCACCAACAGTAAGCAGTAAAGTATTTGTGTTTACGTTGTCATACTATCTAAAACATCAGCAACATGAACAGGAAGGCTAAGAACATATTTGTCATATGATCTGCCCCATCAGATATATAAAGAATGAAAGCTAAATAAAGTGTTGCTTTTAAAGAAACAGAATGCACAGGAATACACTCCTCAGGCATATCCTCCTCTTTCCTATTAACATCAGGTTCAGGAAGTTTGTTTTACTGCATCCTGTCACACATAAAACAGCTGGCAGAGTCCCAGACAAAATGGGTGTCATACTCATAACATAATCATAGCTAAGGAAAATAACAAAAATGTGTGTTTAAATATCAATACACACTCTGAATAGCAAGCAATAATAGCCTTCTACATCTGGCAATGGCACATATTCTTCTTCTGTAGACAATATATACATCTCCTTTAGAAGACAGAGCTTGACTGTCTTGAAAGCCGGAAACTCAGTTACTCACCAGCATTCTTTTCCAACAGGATGGAAATACTTAGTCTCCTCCTTTCAAATCAAATTGTCTCACTAGGATTTAAACTTTACAAAACAACACTGGTATTCATGTGTAGTCTTTATTTGTTAAGGTTTGAGGTTTGTTTAAGGTCAGAATAAGATGAAAATACAACAAAGCTCAGTTATTTAGCTCATTATTGGTTGACTAAAATACTTTTTGGTTCATTAAAATATTTCTGATTACTTTTCCAGGAGTCATGTTAAAACCATCCTCGACACCTACACAGCCCACGAGTGAGATAAGGCGCTGCACTGGTTACTGTCATACAGGCATACTGGCATCAACTACTTCACACAGGCAATTCACACCATATCACTACTGCTGGGTGGGGAATGTGACATATATGAACACAGTGATTTCAGCAGTGCATTGTGAATGGTGGCAGTAATTGCCTGAAGTCCTGGTTTCAGTTCAGTGTGACACAAAATCATTGTGTATAAAGCGAGTCCCAGCTTCTAAAAAACAGTTGCCATGGATTTTTATATGAAGATTGCAGTATATTTCCAATTCAGATTTTGATGAGGTTTTAACCTGAACTATCAAGATAGAAATCACATGTTCACATATAATATAAATTATTAAAAAGCGTTGTTTATGTTGAGGATTCCCCTTGCTGCACAGGTCATTCCGAGTTCATTGTGTGTCTTACCTGCCCACAAAGTTCTCCAGGACGGAGCTCTTGCCCGCGCTCTGGCCACCCACCACAGCGATCTGCGGCAGGTGGAGGCTGCAGCTCTGCCCCGCGGAGCCCAGCGCGTGCTGGAGGCGGTTGACTAGCGGGATCAGATCCTCCATCCCGCGGTTGCCCATCGCAACCGAGCAGCCCAGCGGCTCCTTTAAATCCTGTTTCACCCCTTTTCTATGCTACCCCCGTCGTTGAAGTGGCTACCATAGTTATTTTTAATACGGATAACTACAACGACTAAAAATAAAACTCTACTTAAAGGACGGTGCCAACTTTTGAAAGCTCCGTAACTTTAGCTGTTGATAGTACGTTACCGTGGGTGCGTCTGGTAACGAAAGTAGTGTCCAAGTTTGTGCCCAATCCTCCGGAAACAGTTCGCTATAGACATTTTTGTTGGGTTAAAACTCCAAAAGTTAGCGGTGAGTTGTTTCCCTTAAACCGAGGATACATTTAAGTGGCTAGCCGCAGGTCGCTAAACCGAGTTTGGTCCATGGACATGAGGAAAACATTTCTACTGACAGCTAAGGGAATCAAATGATGTGCGCATGCGCGGTGAAAAGAAAATTCAACACGGCAATCCCCTCCTTCAGAAGAGGGAGCTTCATTGCCAATTGAGAGTAGTGACCTATATCAGACGCTTAGTAAGAATTCACTCCTCTAGCATACAGCTATTTTAAATCCCATGCATCCAGGGTGTGGGTGATCACTGCAACTGGAACCAGAGAGTAAAATTAATCTACTGTAAATAACACTGCTGCATTCTTTGGCAATGAGGGAGTGAGCACTGTGGTACACTGTAGTCCATATGCAAGTGAAAGAAAAACAGAAGAAGCACCACATTGAGATGTTAAGATAAAATGTTATTTACTTGTTTTTGATGAACATTATAATACATTTCATTGAACTAAATGGCAAAGTCAAAGCACTTATTGTAATATTATCTTCACAATATTGTCTCAGACTGTCTTAAATCCCATCACACTTTGGTCTCAAGCAAGCTTTACTCTATTTTCAGGTCTTTTAACAACTCTGCAATGTCTATGTGTGGGCTGCTGTTGGGTCCAGTCCTGTTGGAGTACAGTGCGCTCTGCAGACTTTTGCCTGCTTGGTTCAGGGATGGTAGGATGGTGGCAGCTTTCGATGTCGCATTTTCTCCATGAGAGCACAGAAGAACCTCGTTGACCTCCCCTTCAATCTTTCGGGAAATGATTGTGGGAAACACGGCACTTACACGCTCCAACACACTTTTCCTCAATACTGAGTCACGACACACAAGGTTCAATGTGAATATACCTGGTTGAATGGCAGAGAGAGACAGATAGGAGAGAAGATTACATGGAGAAGAAAATCCACAACGGTCTAAACCTATGCAAGCGTAAACATGCCACATTCCAGACGATTGAGGTAAATCAACTGATACAAATATTTTACCTCTGGGGGTTAGCAGGCTGCGGACTTTCTGCAGGATCGAGGTCTCTACAAAGGCAGCAGGAGGACAGCTCATACCCACAGTGCTATCCTTATTGTCTACATCGAACATGATGACATCAAACAAACGACCACCTACAAAGGAAGAAAAAACCTCATCACTTCTTGGTAATATATTAACTGGTGTAGCCTATAGCATTGTTTTTAACTGCCCCATCTCTGACTCCTCCCTCACTAACCTTCTTTCTCCAGGGCACAGATGCGTTCGAGGCCGTCCCCGAGAGTCACAGTCAAGCGATCATCTGGTCGGAACCCAAACCATTCATTTGCTACTTGCATCACAACAGGGTCCAGTTCTACAACCTCGACAGTTACATTTGGCACAAAGTCCCGCAGAAACTGAGGCAGGCCTCCTCCACCGAGCCCCACCAGGAGCACTGACACTGGGACATCTAAGGGAGAAGATAGTGGGGAGGAAAAAGTAAAAGGTAAAGCTCGATCAAGTGTGATATTTCATGCAAGGCGCTGGAACAGTTATGCTGTATAGTTAGTACTTCCTCCTGCTATTGCCCTCTATGACCTCGACAAGACTGCATCTGAACTGACCTTTGTTTTGTGGCGTGCCAACCCCAAGCATGGTGAGGCCAGCCACCATAACTTCATGGTGAGCGCAGCAGAGGAAGCCACTGTCCACTGACAGAGAGGTGGAGGATGTTGATGGAGCAGTTGTTGGCTTGGCCTTCTTTTTGTTTTTCTTCTTGTGACCTGATGCTGCAGAGACTTAAACATTCATTCATACAATCAATGTACATCTGTCTTATAGCAATATTGCTATATAATGTTTACAAAACAATTTTAAAATGTTTAGTTTTGCTTATTTAGCAATCAAATAGTTTATTAGAAAAAAAGAGCATAATAAAATGCAATAATCAGGGAAAAATAACTGACCAGTATTTGAAGGGACAAGACGGCTCTCTGATTGGACAAGGGCAGCATTGGACAAGAAAACCAGTCTCCGATAGAGTTCTCCGTCTTCTCCCTTGACATTCTCCACACAGTACTCCCCGCTCAGCTCACTCACACCCCTGCTAACCTCCTCTCGCCAACCCAGGTCTCCTCCAACAGACAAAAACGGCACCTAAAAGAGGATGAGATCTCAACTGTATTTACTGACACATTATTGCAGCATAAAATGTTTCATATAGGAGAAGAATATTTCTAAAATAAATATTTTAAGAGTTTACCTGCTGGTTGGCTGGCATACCCGGGGGAGCCAGGTCCATCACCATTGGTGACAGTTCTGACTGGACATCCTGCATGTCTGTGTACTCCTGATTCCTGTGCATTGCCACAATAACCAGACGGCGAAAGTTAGCACTGGCTGCTAGTTGCCTTCGCCCCTCACTGGAGCTGTAGAGCCAAGCTGTCTCACTGCCTTGAGGCACTGACAGGATGAGCAGAAAGAAAAAAAATCATCAAAGTACGAACAAAACACATTTACTGTTACCTACATAGGGAGGCAGAAACATATGGAGGCAGAAACATGATCAAATAACAGGAGAGCTCACCAATAAAAATAGCAAACTGGTTTGATCTTGGCACCTTGGCACCTGGAGGACAATCTTGTACTGTGAGAGTGTATCTGGGGAGGCCAGTCTTGGTGTGGGAGAGAGTAAGTGAGAGGTTCGAGCTGGCGTCTGTGCTTGTACGGAGCCTCTTTTTCAAGACTGAGTAAGCCTGATGCTCCCTCACAGCGGACAACAAATCTGAAACCTGTGTGAGACGAGTAGGGGCTCCATCCTCCCCAAGACACATCTCCAGAATAGGCATGGGCATAGGCTGACGAAACTTGGTGCAGACCAGAACAAAGACAGGCAGAGCAAAGGAGTCCTCAACGCTCCGGTTCTCCTCCTGCAGGCAGTGAAGCCTCACAGCCCACCCCAGCTGCACAAAACGATCTACAGCTAACTTGATGACACTCTCCTGAGCCAATGTCACACAGACATACCGGCCGCCAACACTCAACACACGAGCCACCTGCAGACACAAGAACACTGCTTTGACGCAAATGCAAAGACTATGTTGAGGATAGTACCAACTGAGTAAATAATAAATCGTCTGTTCACAGCCTGAGCCATTGTTTTCTTACCTCAGTGAGCATGTTCCTGGCCAGTGCCCCTTCTTCTTCTGATGCCATGGCATCCAGCGTGCCCTTGTCCAGAGCAGCCTGATAGCTGGCCTCCTCATAAGGAGTTTGTGTGGCATCCATCTGCTGGAAGGTCAGGCCCGGCCGGCGCTCAGCATTTCTCTGGTTCATATGGTTCACCACTGTCTCACTGATGTCAATATTAGTTAGATGTTTGTAGCCAACATCATACATCTGTTCACTCAGCTCAGAGTTACCACAGCCGACCACCAACACCTGAAGGACAGATATACAAAACACTGTTAAATCAGTAATTATCATTTGGAGTGTTGAAAAGTGATTAACCACATTTACTTAAGTACTGGAAGTAAGGTTTTGAGACACTTGTTAATTACTTAAATATATCAATTTTATACTAAAATATACTTCTATTATGCACTGTAATGCATAGATTTAACTACACAACAGTTCATAATGTAGATTAAATTGTCTTCACTTCTAACATCTACAGCATTTAAATGCTTTTCAGGATTATTTTTATCTGTTTTGAATTCCTTTTTGTTATGTAGGTGTGTTGTCTTTGGTTTGCTGAATGGTTCTTGTTGAGTTCCTCATCTCAGCGAGAGTGCCTTATTAATAAAGATCAAATAAATGAATGTTACACTTATACACTACAGTAAACATTAGCTGGAAGTGATGGTCATAACATACAAATTGTCAACACAAACTTTGTATGCTTTAATGACATGTTAGAGCTAGACTATTTTAATTTATTAAAGACCTTTGAGATGTAACATCTATTTTTTAAGCGGGGGCTATAGACACACACAAACAAAGTATATTAGGCGTTTCCTGGACAACAAGCTATCGTACCTTGTCTTGGACTTTGATGTATTTATGCAGCACGCCGCAGAGTTTGTTGTAGTCTCCATACCATTCAAACGCTTTCTCTCCGCGTTTCTTAAAAAACCTCTCCCAGTATTCTGCGGAGCTAAACTCCTCGGCAGTGCGAGGTAAAAGACTCATTGTCAGCTGCAGTGGTTACAACAAATTCAAAACGTTTCAGATTAAGCTTCTTGACAGACACTTTTCCACATGGCAATTCTGACTTTTGAAGCCGGACAACATTGACGGCAGTACCGCTCGCTGATTGGAGGAAGTATCAGGAGGCGGAGTTACATTGTGTCAACCGATTGGCTGTGGCTCCCAGACCTATGTTGATTGGCTGTTACTTAGCCGGAAGCATTCGGTCCGGAATTGTTAGTCCTCCGGATTTGTTTCAACATGGCTGTGCCTGCTGGAAGGTCTGTGGTTTTCGTGACTGGAAATGCAAAAAAGCTCGAAGAGGTAAGAGTTAAAAATTATACTCCACATACAGGTTGTATGCTCACGGTTTTCCTGTACTGTCTTAACCTTTTCAGGCAGGATACATTTATACGTATTTCCTTTTTCATGCTGCTCCATAGTGTGTCAGCTAAATATATATAGTGAATATGAGTTGTAATTAAGTACCAAACTATCTGGTTTCATTTGACAACAAATCAGTCCTGCTAGATTCACTCTTTACTCTTTTTGTCCATCAGGTCATTCAGATACTTGGAGATAGGTTTCCTTACAAACTGGTGTCCAAAAAGATTGACTGTAAGTATCTAAAAAAGAGACACACTGACCGGTAGAACACATATTTTACTATAGTCAATGCTCACCTTACTGTTTCTTTATCCAGTGCCTGAATACCAAGGAGAGCCAGATGAGATTTCCATACATAAGTGTAAGGAGGCTGCACGGCAGGTACAGTAACTACATACAAGCAGGGGTTAAGTTGGGATTTGATATGTGGGGGGGCTCTGTGTGGAGGTGCGAGAGGGGGGCGGAGGTCGAGGATCTCATTATTATACACTGTGGCCCTAAAGCAACTGCTCCATTATCTGTATCAAATGCACACATTGATGCCACCAAATGTCACAATAAAAATAGAAAGTACTATAAATAAACTGGAATTCATTTACATCTTAAATTATTAATATATATATACAAAAAAAGGTTTACAAATATCCAACCTTCAAATTGCTTTTTTAAATCAACACTTGCTAAAGAACATTTGTGTGGAAATCTCAATTCATTTGTAGGGCTGCGTGAGTATGGCCAAAAGTATGGGAGTAAATCTCACTGTAAACTATTTAATCATCACCAAATTCTGTGTTATTATGATCGATCATAACTCAGCTTTATGCAGACATACATTTAGCATGGTGTACAGGCCCGGTTTTTGGCATAGACGGTCGCCTAGGGCGCCAGATCTGGGGGGCGCTGCGCTGGCAGCTCTGGGAGGGAAAAACATTTTTTTGACTGTTTGCGCTCATCCTAATTTTCGGCCTTGATGTAACAACATTCATAATTAAGTAAAGGTAACACCCTTTTCACCCCGGTTACACTTTTCATTTGCCCTGTACGATGGGCGCTGTAAGTGATGAAAGTGGGTGGTGTTGGCTTATCAGGCGTCCGCAGCTCACAGCTAAAGTGGGCGTGGGAGCGAGCGAGAGAGATAAATGCAATTTATGTAAACAAATATTTCCAAGGCACTCCTTTATAATTATTGGGATGAACAGGTTTGAAATCATTTCAATGTATACTATAGGACAGTAAACCAAAAATATCGTTTAAAACTTGAGAGATAAAAAAATATGCATAAATAAATGTTAACCAGGTAAAATAAGATATGAATGAACAACAAAAATAGCTAAGATCTCGCCTAGGGCACCAAATTGGTTAGAACCGGCCCTGATGGGAAACGGGCTCCGTGTTACAAGAGGGGTCGGGGGTTTGGCGGTACTGCTGCACTCTCTGCACACACACACACACACACACACACACACACACACACACACACACACACACACACACACACACACACACACACACACACACACACACACACACACACACACACACACACACACACACACACACACACACACACACACACACACACACACACACACACACACACACACACACACACACACACACACACACACACACACACACACACACACACACACACACACACCGCGCTGCAGACTCTCTGCACGAAGGAGCCGCGGTGCTGCAGCTCCTGATCGGAGCAGAGACACGTTCACTAAGCGGAAAAACTATATCCGGTCACAGAGATCTGCTATTTTAAAGTGAAGTCAACACATATCGACCCTAAATAAAGTCTATATTAAGAACGAGAGATGCTTGTTAAAGCATATGGCTTAAACAAATGACAAATGAGCGAGGGTGATGACGTCAGAGCATCGTCCTATGTGCCCCGGACAGCCCCGGCCCAATTTAAACCCTGCATACAAGATGCAAGAGAATATTTTGTATGTACATTTCTATGATTGAAAGTGATGCATTGTTTGTTTTCCACCCTCAGGTTGAAGGGCCTGTCATAGTGGAGGACACCTGTCTATGTTTCAAAGCTTTGGGAGGCATGCCTGGTCCTTACATGTTCGTATAATAACTTTTATATCTGTATAACCATTGTATCTTTAGTAGTGGAAGTGAATAGTAATAATTAAACCCAAACTTGTTTTTTTGTTGTTGTAGAAAATGGTTCCTGGATAAACTCAAGCCAGAAGGCAAGTATTTTAGTTGATTAAACCCTCATGAGTTGTTTAACAGTTATTTAAAGCTGGGTAAAAAAGATGAACACAGCATCTCCACCATTTATTTATTCTATTTTATTTTATTTGTATTATCATACATTTTACATCTTTGTGTCTATTAACCTGATCAAATGTTAAATGTTGCTGCATGTACCTTTTTAAAGTTCTTAACAAATAATCTGAGGGGAATTTCTTGTTTTTAACTTGTGATGTGTCATTTTGTAAAGCACTTTGAGCTGCATGTGTTGTATGAAAAGTGCTATAAATAAAGCTTTATTATTATTATCTTCAATCTTGTAATTGTTTTGTTGTAGGCTTGTACAAACTCCTAGCTGGATTTGAAGATAAATCAGCATGGGCTCTCTGTACTTTTGCTTTCTCTGCTGGGAAAGATGAACCAGTACAGCTCTTCAGAGGGATAACAGAGGTAAAAGGCTCTCTAAAACTGCCTCAATGTTCTCTTATATGTGTCATATCATTATTATTAAATATTCACTCTTTTTTTTATCTTGTTATTTCAAGGGACACATTGTTGAACCCAGAGGGCCTCGAGACTTTGGATGGGATCCCTGTTTTCAGCCAGAGGGATATGACAAAACGTAAGCAAAGACGGCTTGAAATATCCCCTTTAAACCACAAGGGGGAGTCAAAGGCCAGTGGTTGTGAGGACCCCTTTCACTTTATGCTGTGCATAAGAGATTATTTGTCACTCTCATGCCAACAATAAGAACTATCCTTAGTGACTGTAACTACTTCCCTCTCTTTTGCAGCTATGCTGAACTTCCCAAAGAGGTGAAGAACACTATCTCTCATCGCTACCGGGCGCTTGCTGCCATGTCCGAGCACTTCTCCCAAACCAACAATACCTCACCCGAGAGCAAGAAGAAGAAGCCGCAGGATTAAAACGCAATTTAAAACCATCTACAGGTTCAGAATATGGAGAAAAAATGTAACAAACCTCAAGTCATTCGATTTGACATTGTAGAGGATACTTGTTCATATTTAGACATGTTATTGTTGGGTCAGAAACGGTTGTCAGATAACAAAGATTATTATCACGCGTATAGAATCTGGTAGAAAATGTGCTGCATAATATCAGTTTTGCCTCATTTTTAATAAAGTATTTTTTAAAGAAATTCCCTCTCATTGTTATTATGTTAAAGAGTACCATGTGTCAGCTGTTGTAATGTTAGATGTTGAATAATTTATCGTATAAAAAGAATGTCTTGCAGAATTTGTTGCAAGACTTTTTTCCTTGTTCCACAATGAGCCTCTTGGGATTATGCTTCCAAAGGTAGACATAATTGAAGAAAGCATAAATTATAAAAAGAGGAGTAATGGGAATCTGATGAGAGAAGCAGATCGCTCTGTTGCAGAGAATGTTGCTGGAGTTGAAGAGGGAAGGATGTTCAGGCTTGATTCCAAAGAGATGGTTGTGGAAGAGGGTCTCGGAAGGAGTTGGGGGCGGCGTATAGTACAAACGCAACAGTGATAACGGGGGTTTGAGTAATAAATTACCCTGGAGCTTTGAGTCTCTGAGCAGGAACTATGCATACACTTGTGATTGATGCCTCCCAGATGTACTGAAAATGTCAGACGTTCAAAAAATACTTGCTAATTATTATCTGTGTTTTTAAATATGTTTTAACAACCTTCCCCGACACAGATCTAATGGCAGTTTTGAGTTTGCCACTAATTTATCTGTTGCCTATGAAACCTTTCAATTGTGTACAAGAAAAACCTTTGCACCTGGTTATGGGTGATTGTTGCTACTCAACAAGTAAAAGTGACACTTCTTGAAGAAAAGGTGCTGTTTGTCATAATGTGACTGGAACAATCTGTTTGCTTGGACCTCAAGTTTTGTTTGAGGACGTGCCTGGAAATGGCAAGTTGTTGTGAGAATGAACCGGAAAGCTGTATTTGTCATCATCAGGGAAACATCAATTCACCTGTCAGCCAAGTTTTCAACAGGACAGCGAAGATGTGTGCCAGACGTCAGCTCACTGGAGGTCAAAGACATTGCTATGAAGCTTTTTCCTCAGTGACTTAAAGTCAACACAGTTACTGTCAGTGCTGTATTATTCACTGGGGCCCCAAAAGCTACTGCCTATACAGGAGTAGATGTATGGTGGAGATGTTTAATGCTAAGGATGTCAGTGCAAAAATAAATAATATTGTTTAATTTCACTTTATTCTAGCAGCCAGCTTACAGTGATTCTTCCAAAAGCCTTGTCTCTTTTTGACAACACTTTTGTCGACTTTTGAAAATGTATTTTTACTTTAAAGGGAACCCAGAGCATTGTTCTTACATTTCTAACCACAATATGTGCGCTTTTTGTTTTCTACATTTGTTGTGTTTTGTTCCACTGCACACTGTCTGTTGTATAAGAACATAATGATAATTAATTCAATATTAAACCTTGCCCATAAGGACAATTTATTTAGGTTTTTCTTTCAAAGTTATTCAAACAGTGGTCTGCCGTGGTACCATGAATTACACTACATATTTAACATATCAAACTAACCGAATTGCAGTTTTAAGAGTTTAACCAAGCAATCCTAAAAGATGCATGCAGCTGCCCAAGTTAGCTTTTGCCCTCAGCTTTTATTTGTGGACATCCAGAGCAGTTGTGTAAACTGTTGGAGGGCCATTAAATAACTGAAGGAATGGCTGTATTAAATGATAAAATAACCTAGACAATCATTCTTTTGTTAAACAGTTTACCACTCTGCATCACGAGGCAACTTTTTGGAGACTACTGCTCAATAGTTGCCCTATATGAGCTCTGTAATGTTCTGTTTTCCTTTTCAGGGCCTGGACAAAAAAAGTCTGTGATGTATCGGATCATCTCCTGTCATGACCTGAACATCCGAAGCATGTTCCAAAAGCTTCTGTTCTTTAAGACAGGATGTTTTCAGACTTTAAAAGACAACAGCATGTTTATCCAAGGTAGTCTTTGCTGTTACTGCAAATGTTGTTTTGGTTAATGAAGGAATGTTCTACACTGGGATCAGTGAGAGGAGACCAGACTTTATGAGATCTTAATCCGTTATAAAAAAAGGGTTTGATGTGGCTTTGGAGAGACAGACTGTACTTCCTCTTATTTGTTATGCAAGGCTTACCTGAATTCCTTCGCTGTGATGAGTTTTATTTAACAGCAGACTCAAGTCAAAACTATTTTTCTTGAAATAACAGCACGTATAACTGTGGAAAAGTTTTAACTTGGTTTGACTTCAAAGCAAAAATTAATGAGGGTCAATTTTCACTCCATACATTTTGTGTTTCTCCAAACTCACCCTTGAGTGATTGAAGTATTTCCAAAGTTTTTGTCACGGTTCAGGCTAATGAATTATTCCACCATGAGGCCACTGCAGTGAATGATGGAAAAAGTTGACCTAATACATATTCCTGCTGGGAGTTGCTAAATCTTCACGGTTTATGACCAATCAGGTCCTACTGAAAGCTTTATGAGTATTAACTGCATTTGAATGGCTCCAGAGGGAGGTCATATGTGGAACCTCAATTGACCTTTAACCCCTTTTTTTTACCTTTGCCATCACTTGTATGTTTGTTGTACTGCCATACTGTAAAAAAAATGGGAAGGTTAGAGCAAAGCAGCATTGGTAGGCTGTTAGCGAGTGAATATTTGGTGGCCTGTATGAGGTTTGTGCGTTACGGATACTGGTAGATGTTTGTATCGGGGCATAAATATAGTGTATGCAAAGAAGGTGGCAGTATTTTGGAATAAAATAAAAGGACAAAAAGCATGATGAGGATGGAGGAAATGCTTGAGTGAGTAGGAGGAGAATGTGTCTACGGCATTATGACGTTATGTCTCGAATCTCACATTTCTCTTATGTGCATAATAGCTTCAAATAAAACAGACATGCCTTACAAAAATATGTGACCAGATTGTTCTGATGAGTGAATTACTTTAGATTTCCAAAATACAGACCTATTTTAAAGCATCTTCAACCTACAAATATTTTCTAATCAGGTGATCCAGAAATAAAGAGAAGGTCCAAGGTTTTTCTATCAAAAACATTTATTATGACTTCTGATCTTCATATCATGAGATGTTTGGTTTTCAATTCATTTGTATATGTAACAACAAAGTCACCACCAAGGCGAAAACAGGATTTGTGCCATGCAGCAACCGGACCACAGCTAGAAGGAATTGCTTCCCAAACGTTCAGGTTGGGACCCAAAGTATGCTGCAGGCCTGATTCCTGTGGGGCCCCAGCTAAACCCAGGGGTTTAAATGAGCTTGAGACTAAATCTTTAACTCAGGGGGTTTGATGAAGTAGCAGAAGTTCTATCCAAACAGCCCTGGGTTGTGCAGAGTCAGAGTTTGCAACAGGCGCTGGAAGTCCTGCACCGTCCATGGCTGTCTGTGTGTCTCTGCTGAAGCTGCACTGCTGCTATCAGGGCTGATTCTCTGCGGGTCATTGAAGGTTATCAGGACATCTGTGGAGAACTGTGGCAGACGGAAGAGACCCAGGTGAAGGGTCACTGAATTCCTCGCTTCTTCGTTGAATTTGGACACACACTGAGTGCCAGTCAGCATCCAGGCAGAGCTGCAGTCCGACAGGGACAGCTCAGATTTGGAAAGGGGCACAACACTGGTCACCTCAAAAGCATCTGGCTCTAAAGCTTTGTTACTCCCTGCGATGTCTTCAAAGTGATACCTTGCAGCGTCTTCGTTTTCCACCTGACTCTGATACTCCACCAGCTCCACGATCAGGCTCTGGTCGGTGTGTTCATGCACAAACACCTCCTGGTTGTCTGGGATCTCCCTCAGCTCGCTGGTGTCTTTGGCGCTGTGAGGCAGGACGGCTGACAGCGCTCCTCCGAACAGAGGATGGGACTGATCGGCTCTGCTCTGCATCTCTATGTGAAGACATGCAACAAACAGAGCCTGCTTTTAACTACCTGCAGTGACAGACACTCAGTATGCTTAAATAAATAACATTGGAAAACGTTATAATAAACCTATAAATCAAGTGTGATAAAGATATACCTTACCAACTAAGCCAGAACTCCTTTCCGGGGAAAGTTTATCTTCTTCTTCTGGTGAATTGTTGGCACGCCTTATGCATGTCACGCGCACAGCTGCCACCTACAGGTGAGGCGGACAAACACCCGAAAACAGGCCGTAGTGAAATTATCAATAACATATTGTTATTAAAGTAAAATAAATCTAAAAAACGTATTATTTTTTGCTTATCTTATTTGCTGAGTCTTCACTTGTTTTATTTTCATTGTTAACAAAGAATAATAATTCCTTCTGGCATGCATTAGAGCAGAAGTAGGCCTAAAAAGATGCATAATGATACATACATGCTTTAATGCAGGGCTATTCAATTGGCGGCCCGCGGGCCAAATCCGGCCCCGGGGTGATATTTACTGGCCCTTTGAGTATAATGTTAAAAAGTCATAACAAATTTTTTTTAAGATTTTTTTTTTTTTTTGCCATAGTGCCTTTATTCCAGAGAGGGTGTTACATTGAGAGATAGAGGGGTAGACAATGCCTGAAAACTTCGACGGGCTCGGGTTTCGAACCCACCTACTATACTGTAGTGACAACTCCTGTCATTGATTGCATCTCTGCGTGAATGATTAGATCATTTCACCTAAATGAAATCAAATGAAACATGTAGGCCTACTGAGTTCTGAACTTGCCATTTAGATCTATAAAGGCCTTGGGGCTATGTTGTTTGATTGAATTAAACACAATATATGCACTCCACTATGCTGTTGTAGTATTTACTGTATCTGAAGCTCTTAAATATGATTGCTCATATTTCAAGCCATCTTTTTCCCGGCCCCTTGCTTTGGATCATTTTCATCAACCGGCCCCCATTCCAAACTAATTGAATAGCCCTGCTTTAATGCAACAGTGCTAAAGGAACATTCTGTCATAAAGAATGAATGAAAACAAATACAACATGTGGGGGAAACTGGGATAAAGTGATAAAATGTTGCCTAAAAGATATGAGCAGCCTACTCATACAACTATTGCATTCTATGATTATGTAATATGTGTTATAATTGAAGAACCCTAATAAAAACCTTTAAAAATATATTTGCTGTGTAGAAAAAACCAAAATATCAATATTTCTCCGGGCTGTGAAACATCTGCATCGTCCCTCTCCTCTTCCAGCTGTTGGTGCTTCCTGGTCAGCTGATTCTGACGGAGCAGAGACAGCAGACCGCTAACATCCTTAATGATTATCCTGTCTCATCGTCACGGACAGCATTTGAAATGAAAGTATCAACACCGTGAAGGAGCCAACCTAAACCCTGAATACCCTGGATTAACACCTGAGTCTTCTCGTGTTTGTGTTTTTCAGCATCGGGCTTCGGATCTTGTGGAAAACAGCAGGTAGCTAGCCCCGTTAGCATCCTTAGTAGCTTAGCTTAGCTCGGTAGCTATATTTGTCAATGTACCAAGTGGCCTCTCTTGCTAGATTAGCTAATAGCTAGCTGTGTTGGCATTAACAGTGGCCCCCTTTAATTTTAATTATTGTGGTGTAGCATTTAAATAGTTTGAGTGTGGTACACAACGATATTCTGACGTATTTACATGTATGCTAACAAACGTTTCACCAGCTAACGTCTCGGAAAGAGGTTGTTATCTAACGTTAATTGGGATCATCTCATCATGTTCCCAGGATCTTATGTTCCCAGCAGTGGTGTTAAGTAGCTAAGTACATTTACGCAAGTACACTACTTAAGTACAATTGTGAAGACCTTGTACTAGAGTATTTTCATTTAATGTTACTTTGTACTTCTACTCTACTATAATTCAGAGGTTTAAAGTGTACTTTTACCCTTTAGTTACTTTACGGATTTGGATTAATGATGTGATATAATCAACACTTCAATAAGACTTTAGTCACACCTTGAGGAACATTCATAAGCTACCCTGCAGCATACAAAGTGATTAAAACTAGCTGCACCTTTACCAGCTTTGATAAACACATGAATCAATGCATCATTTATTATAATCAAAACATATAATATGAAAATGAGAAAATGAGAAAATCTTTATAATGAGTACTTTTAATTTCAGTACTTTATGTATATTTTGCTAATAATTTTGTACTTTTACATTTGCAATGCAGGACTTTTACTTGTAACAGATTACTCCTAGACTGGGGTTTTTTCTTCTTTTACTCAAGTACAACATATGAGTACTTTTTCCACCTCTGGTCTTTTGACATGAATGTACTTTGGTGGAGATTGGTTGGAGCTTCCTTAGAGCTCAAATTGCAAAAAGAAAGAAGGGAGATGGGCGTTTCAAATGCAGTTTGAAGGGGAAAACTGTACAGTCGTTGTGAAATGTCAAAAGTCAAGTAAACAGACTTGCCTGCAAATGTAAGGGTGTATTAAGTAGTATGACATCAGTTGGTAATAACTGTAGGTGGGTGATTTTTAACATAATGACCCAGGAAATGAGAACATAGTATATTTGAAAAGTCTCCTTAATTTGTCATATTAAGAGGATATTGAGCACGGGAACATAGGACTCTGAGATGTCGGTTTCATTTTCAGTAATAGATCATTTTTAAGGAGTCATGATTAGACTTTAACAGGAATACATTAGTAGTATAAACAGCTAAGAATAGCTTAACTTAATTTAACGCTTTTCTTCTGAAAGGAGAGAAATTGCAATCCATAATAAATTGATTTGATCAACGATAATCTATAATCCTCTTCACGTGGTCATCATGAGGTCATTTTCTTAGTTTTATTCCAATCAGTTTGGTCCAATCTTGACTGTCAGTTGTCTATTTTATAAATAACAGCTTTGACATCATTTAATTCCGTTTTTTGTGGATTGCACTTTAAACCTCCTCTCTTGAAAACGGCTTCCTTCTGCAACCCTAACATGTTAGAGTTGGCTTCTCTTCTTTCTCTTTCTGTTTCTCTTCACGCTGTCACTGCTTCAGAGCGTGCCGTGTCTCCTGCTTCTCTTCAACTCTGTTTACTGGAAAGTTCCTCTCCTCTCCTGGCTTCTGAGGCCTTTTTCCAAATTGCAGTGCCAGAAAGGACGCTGCTGTGAAAGCCACAGTGTCATACTGAACTGGATTCAATGGTACAACTTCTGTTGTTGTGTTGAGAGAGTTGGTGTGTATGTGTAAGACTGCTGTGATTTCCCCCCACCGGTCGTAACGGAAGGGTCTGCAGACTCTGCACATGTTGTTTAGTTCAGTGTTGCCAAAGCACTTTAATGAGGCCCTGTTGTGATTAGCTGCAGTGTTACAAACGGTGTTGGCAACGAGAAACACCCAAACCCTGACTCCAGGGGGTTTCATTGGAAGAACAGCATGTTTTCCAAATCCGTTTTTTAAAGTCTTTCACCCAAAGGTGCACATTGCAATGACCACATTTCCGAGACTTTAAACCGGCTCCCACCAGAAATATAACCAATGAATACATCTTAACAGGTCATCTTAATATTTGTATTTCTTTGCTTTCTCAAAATGCGTATGAGAGGAGAGGAATATAATTTCAAAGACAGCTGGTATAATGAGTGAACCACCTTCTTTTTCCTAAAAATAAAATGAATGTAATCCGCTCTGTGACTCATAATGATGTCAGACTGTTTACCACAAAGTTTTGGGACTAGAAGTTTCCTCAGATTGCTCAACCATGACCAGCTTCATTGATGGAATCATTACCGAGCATGTTTAGATAGAGGTTACTAACTCTGTACATAGTACATACACTTGATGATTTGCAACGTCAAAGACTGTGCATGTATTGACCTTCTTCTCTTCCAATCCAACAGAGGGAGCCAGACCAGGAGGAGCAGCCTGAAGACAACATGCCCCCCAAGTTTAAACGACACCTCAACGATGACGAGGTCACCGGATCGATTCGCAGCGAGAGGGTAAGATATAGATGGAGGAAGTGGCGGTGTTTGTTTTGTGGCCTATCACCAGGAGGAAGCAAACATAACACAAAATGGGAAAAAAGTTAGTGTACAAGGTTTAGAAATTGATAGACCTTTTTAGAAATGTCCAATAAAGTCAAAAACAGGTGTTGATTTGAGATGCAGATTCTACTGTTAGAAGTAGTAGAAAAACTACAGGGAATGCACACAAGACATTGGATCTTTGAAGGAGGTAAAGTGAACAACTCTTCGAGCCAAATATCTGGTTCTCATCGAAATGAGCTTCCCCACCCAATTCCACCTTCCTGTCCTCCCACTGATTTTGTACTTCACTCAGTCCTCTGTTTCTAAGTCCAATCCTTTTTGCTATTGTGCGAACTGGGATCAAAAACAGGGCTTACGGGGAGGTTTTCATTATCCATGCTAATAACTTCCAGTCCTGCCTCATGTCTCTCATCCTAGACAGTGGAAAGAAAGTAAAAACAAATATGTTGACCAGAAGGAGAGTGTTAGTGCCTTCACTTATAAAGTCTTTTATAATCATATGGTCAGCTGTTTTGCAGATGACACTGTATTTACAAGAAAGTCAAATATCTATATTGCTCTGGCATTTCTTGCGGCTGTCAGCATTACTGGACAGCCATGGATTTTTCTTTTTTGTAGTCGCAGGATGCCATTATAAGGTGATGACCAATGACAGAAACATTTGACATTTACCTTAAACTACTTCTGGATACTGTTATTCAAATGTAATGAATTATTGCTTCTAAACTCATGGAACACTACAATGTAAGGAAGCATGTATGCCTCTATTTGTTCCTGTAGCAATGAACGTCCTGGTGTGCCATCCAATGAGAAACAGACCCTTACTTTCTGCTAGTCCAATTCTCCTCCTATGAGAATTGAATGCAGCTGGCCTAACTAATTCTCTACGAATAGCCCTTTACACAGGGCGCTTCCTGCCTCTATTGAAGCCATCAGTGGTAAAGACATGGTTGTGATCCTGGTAAAGTTTTTCTTAAAACTTCTTGGATAGCAGAAACCCCTTTCTATATTTTATTGGAATATGTTCAGATGCATTTTGCTTGGATTCAAACCGACGGATTTTCCTTGCCAGAACTAGATGTAGACATGTTTTAAGAGGAAGAGTTTTTACGGAGTCTGGCAAGCAGGATAACAGAGCAACAACAGTCGTTTATTTTTGTACAAGTCATCATAATGTAAGTGCACTAGAATAGCATAGTGTCTGGGAATATCTGCTCTCCGAAGACAGACCAGAGAAAGTTATCTATCAGCTATCTTGCCCCTGGAGGTCAATTTCATTTCTCTGTATCAGCACCATCATTTGTTAGTGCCAAGAATGTACTCTGGTGAGGCCTTTCAGCTGCTGAGGTGCTGGAACTGGATCTTGTTGCTGAACCAAATCTGAGATCATTCAAATCACAGTCATTCAGTATCCAGAACTTACTCTTATCTGACCTTTTCCACTTTACAGAGGAACCTACTTGAAGAGGACTCTGATGAGGAGGAAGACTTCTTTCTGTGAGTTTTATATTCCATTCAGTCACTGAGATTATTATAAATAAATCAAATATATATATATATACAAAGTACAATTGACCTCTACGATGACAGCAGTAATACTAACACAGAGTATACAAAATAAACAGTAAAATAGGTTGTTTTAGTAGAAAGACTATAAATTGGTAACCCTTGGCTTCACTGAAACTTGTTTTTCAGGAGAGGACCCACGGCACCCAGATTTGGACCTCAGAATGACAAGTTCAAACAGTAAGTATTAACACATTGCTCATAAGAACCCAAAGCCTGAGGTCAGAGTAGTACTGCCAACGATCTTGAGCTTTGGTGTGGGTGTTATGCAACTGCGGCCCGTCATGTTTACCAGGAGCTGCGGTTTATAGTGGATTGAGTAAGAGAGGCCGCCATGTTATTGTGTAACCTTCCCAAGACTCCCCAGTCCCTCTGCAGTCTGTTTCCACATTAACCTCCACAGAGATGGCCAGAGAACAAACACGGTCATTGTTAAGACTCCCTGGCACCCGGAGCATTTCTCCACGCTCTGTTTGTCCTTGACAGTTTGTCATTTTCTTGTGAGTACCTGAAACTAGATGCCATCATTACAGACTGCAGGAATGTTGTTTGCACATTACCCAGGCTCTTCACCTCTGCGTCTGTCTGGACCCCCGAGGTCAGGTCAGGTCCCTGCAGTAGTTTCATGCTTCTCTATGTCCTCCAGATCTCTTTCTGGCTATGGTTTTTTTATATTTAATATTACCGTCTTCGACCTGCAATCAAGTTGAAGTCCAAGACTGATAAATTCCTGCAGTTCCTTGTCTGAGACGATCAGTGTTATGGTGCTGGAAAATGTGATCAGTTGTTTAAAATACAAAGTCCTTTGTCTTGCATCTCCTTTTACACTTCTTTGACAATGTGGCCCCTCCCACTGATTCTGAATTCCTCCAAGATGTATTGCTTTGAAATAATAGCGACTGAGGGGAAATCTGGGCTAGTCATGCAACCATGACTAGCCCAGATGAGGCACCATGAATAAAAGATTCACTCAGATACTAAAACAGGTGCAGGCAGGTCAGCGTGAGGCAAAAAAAAACACTTGAAAGGCTTTTATATTGCCTGCCAACTTGTCAAAGCTGGATATAGAGGAGAGGATATTGTTGGGAACACGGGTGATGTGGTGGGTTACCACAAAAGAAGATCTCAATCATTAACAAATCCTACTCCTCATCTCTATTATTTATCAATGTCTTACACCAACGTGTGTCCCCAGGGTGCAGTCGCAGGTTGACGAGGTGATCGATGTGATGCAGGAGAACATCTCCAAGGTGATAGAGAGGGGCGAGCGGCTCGAGGACCTGCAGGACAAGTCAGGTGAGTCACTCTGAGACAGCACGTGTTCTCCTATGTGTCCACATGTTCAGAATGTGTGTTTATTTACAAAGTGAAATGAAGTTGAGACAAACTCTACAGGGAATGTTTTATCAGTCTCATTTGTTTTAATGGTTAGTCTCCCCCGGTAGCTCACACATGGTTTACACATGGCTCTGAGGATTGTTATCTTCACTGTATGCACGCTTATTTTGCCATTTGGTATTTGTTAATGGGAAAATCTGCCCATGTGCTTCCGTTTAACTGAAAGACATTTTGTTTGAAGATGCCCAATTATCTTAATTGTATCTTTTTAAATCAAGCAAAGAAAGTTTAGGTATATAAATCTCTGGTGAGATCTCAAACCTGCAAATGAGACAAACTTCTCATCTGTTGCGTGTAAAGTAAGTACATTTAAGCAAGAATAGACAAATGATGGGCTCAATCATTATTTGGTGGATGTGCCCAAAGAGCAATGAGTGATTGAATTTGCTTCATTTACAGTGTATGTGTGTGCCTGTACAAATCATTTAATAAAGTAGTTACATTTATTTGATTAAAAAAAACTGCAGAAAAACCGATGTTAAAAAGCAGTAGACTTTCACTGACATCTTCAAATGTATTATATTTGTCTGAGCAACAGTCCTGAACTCAAAGGTAATTTAGTTTACTAAAATATATCAGAGAAAAACCATTACATCCTAACACCTGAGAAGCTGAAACTTGATTATGTAACTAAAAGCAGCTGATGTTCTTCTTATAGACTAATCAATAAAGCAACTCATCTTTTCAGCTCTTTAGAAATATGTCACATATTTTCATTTGAAAAGCATTAACTTGATCCAGAATCTCTCCTGCAGGTGTACTGTAAACACGCTCATTTAAGGTTTTAATGACATGACCAGGTTTAGTGTTTTACCAGGTGTGCGTCTCACACTCTCTTTCTGAACGCCCCCCTCTCTTTTGACCCTGTGTATATCAAGCAGGTGTGTGAAATGTGTTTAGCTCGCTCCGTTACTCAACTTCACACACATGCCAAGCTTTCAACAGGACACGCACAGGTCTACTCCTTCTGCTCCGCATGGACCAGAGGAAGAGGCTGCAGTGCTCCTGTCTCTTCAGCCTCATCATCTCATCCTCACAGATGTTATATAACTGCTTCTCCCCGTCATATCCACGAGCAAGCCAAAACAATGATGCACATCTGGAACACATTTGTGTGAATGAGGCTTTGTGTACATGTGAGTTTGGTGTATTTCTCGGTCTGTGTGTGTCTGCAGTGTGTGAGCAATATGAAATCCTGTGATTGACAGGTCTCAGCTCCATGTGCAGGTAACCTGTTGTCAAATTCCTGCAGATTAACAAGCATCTTCTCAGTAGCCTCGTCTTGAGTGCCTCTCTTTTGTGGTAGCGGCCGGCCGTTAACTGGCACATGCATGTGGGAACAGCTTACACATGACGGGCACAGAGACTTTAAAGAGGGTCGGGGGCTTGGACCAGCACATCACTGCACGCTATGGAGCTGTAACTTTCCTGCTAATGTGCATAAACCTCCAGTTAACAACGGTATCCAAGAAACAGAGAGCCTGTGTGGGCGAGTGCTTTGGAGTGGAATATCAGGACAGAAGAGAGGAAGATTGACGAAATGTGTTTAAATTCGGCAAGTTGTTGTTTACCATTTAATGCCAATTGAGTTAAAGTACAAAAAAACAACTATTAATAGGAATGATCTCACCAGCATAGCAACTTCTTACATAACATTTGACAACAGTTCAAGACCGAGTCACCTTGTCCCGCATCAATGCCAAAACAATAGCCTGGTTCTTGTTTACGTGGTGATTAACTAATGTTTTTTCTTTGTTTTTTTCTCCAATGATTTTCCTCCTCGCGTGTCCTCGTCTGCGCTGCGGTCATGAAATGTCCCAGAGAGCCTATCGGACAACGCGTCGGCCTTCAGTAGCCGAGCCAAACACCTGCACAGGAGGATGTGGTGGCGAGACATGAAGGTGGGGCTGTCTGTTTTATGTGTGTGTGTTCAAGCGTGTGACACCTTTTGACTGCGTCTCTTCATCCACTTGTTTTGACTTTCTAGACTTTTGAGGAATGTGTTCATGGTGTGTTGTTTCTTCCACAGATGAAGCTGATTATTGCCTTGGTAGTCATTGCTCTCCTGCTCATAATCATCAGTGAGTATTAGATCAACATGCAGATGAAATTGACTTGATGTGCAGAACTTATCATTTCATGTCCTGTTCTTTTCTCTCTTTCAGTCCCAGTGATCCTGCGATATCGCTAGTGTCTGAAGAGAAGGATGGGGGAGAATCTTTCATCTCTCTCTTTTGCACACAGTCCTCCACTCCAGCTAGGGGGCGCCAATCACCCTCCTCAGTGTCAGCCTGTGCACCCCCAAGGATCTGACCTCAACTTGCCCTTAATACCGATCTTATCATTGGTATTTCCACATAAATCTGTTGTGAGATCAGTACTAAGGCTTGGTTTGACCCTTGGTTTGAAACTAATCCACAGCAAGGGGACACAGGCGACTTGCGGGGATATTTTAGTGCAGTTTGGGAGTAAATTACCCCTCTAGTCAATGTGAAGGAGGGCTCCATGCCATGAAACATATCACATGTAGGGCCCTGTCTTTGCCTTGGTAACAGGGAAACTCCTGGTCTTGCATTATTACACAATATAGATAGACACTGTAAAGACAGGAAGTCCATGCCAACTGTTTTCTTACTTTAGCTGGTCTGAATCTGCTGCAGCAGCCTCACATAAAGAGGGCCTTAGCATCTATCGAATGAACCTCAGATGTCTATCCACGTGCTCTTCTCTGTGCCGGAGGATGAGAGCATTTATAGGGAACATTTTTGTGAGCACAAGCACATTGCACCGTTCAACACGAGGAGAGGGAACATCTGAGGTTCATCTGCATAGTTGGCTTCTTTTAATCATCAAAAAGAGTTTCTGACAGGATAGTGATTTCATCTATAAGGTATTTGTCATTATCAGTGCAGATGACTTGAAAGGGGCCTAGAAAGAACATCATATTTCTAATGATTCTGTTCCATGAATAGTTTATTATCTTCTACAGTCAAACTAAAACACCCGGGTTATGAATGTCTCCTCGGCCCTCGACTCTCTCACCATCTCACCTTCCTCCTCTGGTCACGGCTGTCCTACTTTCCTGCTGGTGACATCAAACCGTTTTCTCACTCTGCACATGGTTCTCTTCAGTTTTAATACTGCTTCTGTCTTTTTCCCCCTCATTTTGAAAGTTCTTCTCTGGGCGCTCGATGTGCTGCTTGTATGGATGCTGGTGTTCCTGTCGCCACTGAGTTTGACTCATTGTATTGTTACATTATTTTGAAGCAGGAGTGATTTAATGGATGCAAGTTAGAAGTTGAGCTGTGAAACAAACATAGGTGTCATTGTGTCTGGATTAATGAACTGTATAATACATTGTAATTTTATTATTTTGACTGTAATTTATTTTAGCTGTAAATATTGGTAATGATGTACAATACTCTGGCATTGCATTGGAAGACTGTGATATACGGATGCTCTGAAATAAAGTGATTTTAAAGGGCACTGGTCTGGTTTCATCTGGTTTTATTCGGTTGGCTCTCTTCCTTGGAGGAGGATGGATGGAGCAATCAGAGGGAGAACAGCTTTGAAAAGGTAAATGGGGGAAAAAAGAAGATGGCTGGAGGTGAAGAGGGAAAAAACTAATCGTCATGCCATCCCTTTGGCTCTTTCCCACTTTGGATATTCTTGTCCTGAGCTTTCTTTTCTCCTCTCATTACCCAACTTTTTGTTATTGCTCTGTGACTTTACTGGCAGTGTTTATTCCCAAAATGGCACTAAAGTCGGTGGGACTGGAGGCCGTGAAGCGTTATGGTTCTGACAGACTCGCTGCTCTCCAGCGACAGTAGACGCGAACACACACCGACAGCTCTGCCCTTTGCTCAGCCAGCACTGCCAACCCCTTTATTCTGAGGGAGTACACATTCAATTGGTCCTCAGGGGTCTTTTACTTCATTGATTTATGGCAGATGGTCTTCCAGATCACACTAATTGCTGGAGCACACAGCAGGGGAGGATGTTCTTATTGAAGCTTTGAAGAAGAGCGAGGGAGTAACTCGAGGCAAGTAACTCTTGCTCTCTTGGACTGAAATCAAAGGTTGTAAAGGGGTCTCAAATGTTACAGTTTTCAGGTCTCACAGAGTCATAAGTCATTTGCTTTAAGTGCAAACCTAGTGTGTACTTAGAGGAAAAGAAAAGGAAAAAAATAGATCAGTGTTACAATATTATCGTATATTTGTGCACAAGATATTTCTATCCTCTCCGCTCTACGGGGACACACCCACACTGGCAGCAGAGGATGTTTTGGTCCGACGTTAAAGGGCTCATGCTGGATGACTTCAGATTCCGGGCATAGTTAGTATGAGCCATAAAGAGTGGACAACGTGCCAACCAGCATTTGTCAGTCTCATATATATACACACACACACACACACACACACACACACACACACACACACACACACACACACACACACACACACACACACACACACACACACACACGTGAATAAAACACTGTTCATATGTTTAAACACTCATCTTCTCTTTGTATGTATTTATAGTTCACTTCTACTTTTCCAGAAGCGTCTGTCTTCATTTCTTCTCTCCTATGTTTACACATGCTTTAGCTCTCATATTATCCTCCTTTAATGATTTATTCACTTCATTCTTTCATGTGTCTCACCTTTCATCCTATCCCACTTTCTCATTGTTGAGATATTTCCTGTAAGAGGATGCGCTTTCAAAGTCAAACACATACCGTAGCTTTTTCATCCATTCATCCATCTGTCCAACCAATCAGAGACTTGCCTCATCAATCAAGACGACTTGTCTGAGGTAGCATCAGCTGTCGGTAAACAAGCACCGACAGAAGAAGATGAGGCATCAACCTGCAAGTACGTGTTTCTGAGAGTAAGTACCCTTCCTCTTTACGACCTTTGCCCTCTAGTCTGCTCTTAAGTGAGGTCAGGTGATGTTTTGGTCTTCAGGGTGGCCTGGCAGGTCAGCAGAGATGGCTGTAAAAGATCTCTAAACATACAGAGAAGTACAAAGACATGAGGAAAAGAAGCGTGGATTCTGGAAAGCCAAACAAAGAGGCAGGATATGAAGGTAAGCTGAGATTTATAAGGCGAGGATTGTGCACACCTGCCTCATCGCGTGCAACTCTGCAACTGTCTCACGTCCAAATCTTTTCATACTGCCTCTCTGAAAATAAACAAGAGTTCATCTTCCCTATCACATGACCGCAGAAGCGAGCCTCGCAGGCAGCAGTTCAACGTGTCTGTGGTATTGTGTTAAAGCAAAGAGACGAGAGCGGCGGGACAAAAGGCAGACTGCGTCAAATCAAAGTGACAGGAAGTGAGCTCTTGGGAGGAATCGTCCCCAGCAGCTCACTCATGTTGTATTAAATATCAACTTTATAAATCCGGAGTGAGTGGAGTCTGCAGCATGAACACACACATAATGTCCACAACTAACCCAAGCTCAGCCGAGGGGACTATGTCAGGGTCATGTATCCGGTCATCGATTGATTTGTAACTTCAACCCTTCCTAATGACAGTCCTTATTGGCTGCTTGTGTCACGTCCTGGCCCCCTACCAATATGAAAGGGGACACCGGCTCCTCGGGAGGTAATTGTATCCAATGAGGTGCAACTCTCACTGCCATGCTGAGGCCAACATGTAGCCAAATCCCCTCGGGACCGACACATGGCACTGCATCTCATTATCAGGGGATGTTTCTGATAAATGACATGTGGGGGGGATAAATTCATTACTCAAATGTAAAGGACAGAGTGTTATGGTTGACCCTTAAATCCAAAAAACTGCTTTTGCAGAAACACAGACACTGAAATGTGTGTATAAATGTAATGTTTTTGTGCCCAAAACAACCAGCATCCCATTACTTTCTCTGTTTTCCTCCCTCCCCCTTTTGCCTCTGACCCCCCCTTCCTCACAGTTTTCTCTCTCTCCCTCCCCTCCCTCCCTTTCACCTCTCCTCTCTTCCCCTCTTTACTTCCCCTCCAGATTGTATAAATATCTGTGAGCTGTTCACAAGAGCTCAGAGTTACAGACCTGTCCACTGAGGAGAACCAGAGGGAGAGGGGAGGGCATAAGAAGAAGAAGAAGGAGAAGAAGAAGAGACACCTGAGAAAAGAGTGAGACAAAATAGGAGAGAAACTCCTCAGCAGGAAATTGGCAGTGATTAAAGAAGAAATCCATTTGGGAGCTGACAAATAAAACAAGACTTGAAGAAGGAAGGAAAGTGTTTCTTCAAAAGAGAATTTAACTTTCTGACCTATCTGAGGAAGTCTCCAGTATGTTGGTCCTTCTCTTGTTGTGTACGTCTGGTCTTCTGCTGCGAGGGGACGCCCAGGACCGAGCTGCTCTGTGGAGGGGGAACGACCGCAGCGGACGATGCCAGTACACCTTCAGTGTTCCCAGCCCCACCGAGGCCAGCTGCCCCCAGACCGGAGGCCCCGAGGTGGAGGGCCTGAAGGCTAGACTAAGCCTGCTGGAGGTGCTGGTGTCCCGGCTGACTGGAGGGGACACAGGGGGTCCACAGGGGGCCACAGCCAGGGATCAGACTGAGCTTCATCAATCACTGAACCGGGTCACGGGGGAGAGGAACCTGCTGCAGGGGGAGAAGGAGCGTCTGGAGCAGGAGTTGGAGGGGCTTCAGCGCAGGATGGAGGAGATGAGGAGGGAGACGGAGAGGCTGAGGAACAAACCGTGTCCCCTGCAGACCCCCGCGGTGCCGCCGAGCCCCCCGCTGCAGGACAGTGGCCTGACAAAACCTGCTGGGGGTAAGAGATACGCTCTGAATCACCACACACTCTATGAGCTATTCGGAAAATGTGCAAACCTTAATGGCATTTATAAATAGAAGAAATATGTTTACTTCAGAAGATAAGCTTATGTTAGGAATTATTTTTGGAAAACTATGCACAGATTTTTTATTTAAATCTCCCCATAACATCCTGCAAAGTGGATAAATACAAAAACTGAATAAAGGTGAACAAAGGTAGATAAAATAAATATAATAAATAGTTATATATATATATATATATACGTTCATATACAAAATATTTATAGAAGTCTCAGGTTCCTTCTGACACCATATAATGAACACCCCCAAAGACAGCAGGGGACATACATCCGATAATATTGCATATACATTTTATGTGCGTGTGAATAATGTTTTGGTTGCCCCATAAGTCTGCAGAGACACACGACACCTGCGTGCATTTAGGGCCGATGGTGGCAGGCCAGAGAGGGTCATTTAAGTATTTATGACTAGATCCTGCTTTCTTTATGGCTGGTGGTTCCCTCTGCATGACAAACAGGGCGCGAATAGCCTGATTGGAAGCGATGTGGGGTGGGGGGCTGAAATGTGATGCACGTTGAGGAAGTGGTGGTTCTTTGCCAAGGTCTCATCTCGGGGCTTTTGATGACGCCTGGTGGGTCAGGGCTGGAGGGCTTAAGGCCAAGAACACTACACCTCCAGGGGTTAGAGGGCTGCGCTGATCCAGGCACTTATTGTTCAGCCAGAGAGGTTAAGCTCGGGCATTCTGTGTGTTTGCAGTGGCCAAACATGCATCTAATTAGTCTCTGTGCTCGTCTTTTCAGCCACCATCCCCCCCTTTCTGTTCTGAGTTAAGCCATCGCTCTGTTTGCCCTCTTGGCTCTGGAGTATGGCTCGTAAATCCGTGATTGCCAGAGGCAGTAAATCCTTTCTTGCCATCCTCACATTCACCGGACATCTCCTCTCCCCTGCATCAGGAGAGCTAACTTACTCCAGGTTATCTGTTTAGCTCCTCATGTTCGCACCTGCGGACTGAAATGCACAGAGAGGGCCCCTCAGGGTGGGAGGCAGATGTGGAACAGATCGCAGCGAGAGGACGACATGCAGAACCAGAGAGGAGATAAAAGCAAACGTTGAGATAAAACTCCTGACAAGCTTATAACTCAAGCAGTGGTTATGACTTACCTCTCAAAATATATGAGCTGATAAATTATAATGTTATTTGATTGAAAAATGGACCATCACAGTCCAGCGGGGCAGTGCGCTGAAAGTGGAACCATGCTTTTAAAACAAAGACCTCAAAGCAGAACTCATGCAAGGTGTGGGCTGACTTTCAACATTACTCAAAAGAAAGTTGGTGTTATGACAAAATGTGCAAAATTCGAGACCAGCCATCTTAGGGGCCACACTTACTTTTTGTTCAGGTTGTATCAGTCACAGAGAAGAGCCCATGTGCAGTTTACTTGAGTTAAACCAATTGCCAAAAAAAATTCACCATGTCGTTCAGACGTTTTATTTTCCAGGATGTTCAGCCAGAAGAAAACTGCAGTCATAAATAATCAATGTGTTTATCATGCAGTGACTAAATGGCTGGACTTTTGATTAAAATGTGAATGTTTACATTTTTTTCTGGTTGATTATACAATTCACAAATATGAAAACAGGGAAAATAATTATGTTCCTGACAACAATATTAAGTG